CCTTTTGCAATCTACATATTCTGTAGCAAGCTGTGACTACCAAGAGCAGCCCACACAGCTGTACCACCAGAGCACGTGTGGGAAGGATTCCTGAGCTCTGGCATGCGAGTTCCTCCTCTGTTCTCTGAACTGCCCTCGGTACAGTGGAGGCTCAGCAGCTTCCCCGTATCTGAAATAGTGGGAAATTGCTGGGGAATCCAGCAACTGAGACATGAAATCCATACGAGATGGTCCAACAGACTGGCCTTCCCCCGGCCTTCTCTTAATAAAAGGTGGCAAGCCACATAGTGGCCTGTGACACTGGTGGGGCCATTCGTGACAAGCAGGATGGGGAGGAATGAGCATGTCTGCTAGCTGAGCTGTCCAGCCATAAAGGTGACTAGCTAAGCCCGCATAGGAATCCTGAGCCACACTTGTGAAAGCTGGTTCTTATCAGAAAACAAAGGAACTGAACCGAAGGGTAGGCAACCCTGGGAACAGATGGCCGGGGGATGAGGCTGGACAGCCCCTTGCTGTCAGCCCTTAGAGCCAGAGAAACAAGACACTAGTGGCCTGCTTATTTGCCTCCTCCGGTCAGGAAGGCATTCAGGCCAGAACTGTCGTCTTCTGTCTTGACCAACTGTTCTTGGAGTGGCCAACCACTACAGGATACATAGTAAGAAAAGGAGGAAGGGTGCATGACTCCAAATGCACCATCAAATGGTTCTTATCCAGTGCTCTTCTAACACAAGCCCCTGTGATAACAGTGGAAGATGTAAATTCAAAGACGGCAGGAGTTAATCTGCTTGGCCCTTTTGACCTAAACATTTGAGAAAAGAAAAGCATCAGTAAACCTATAGGAACAGCAGTCTAACCTTTTTCCCCCTTAGGAGTATAGCAAAGATAACCTGTGATAAGATGGGAGAAAAGGGTCCCCAGGAATGAGAAGGGGGAGGGCTGGGGACACGACGAGGTGTGGGTGAGATGGGCTCTCCCTGGTCAGCAGCTCTGCGTTCTGTGTGCGCACACGGTTATGACTTGGGGGAACTTGAGTCGCTAATGGAAAATACAGGGATGGGTAAACATGGGCATAGGTGGGCAGAAACACTGAAATTCAGCTATGGTGCGGTTCTTTGTTGATGAGCTCAGTGCAGCCTGAGGCAGTAAGACAGGTTCATCTCATTTCAGAAGCCCAGGCGTACAGCACACCTCATCCAAGCCTGAGTCTGCATAACCTTGATTTCCCTGCTCAGATATTTCCTTTGCCCCAATGCTCTTTACAGATGAAACAAAAAGAAAATGAGGTGGCAGGGCGGTCTCGTGTGTCTGTATGTTAGAAGTGAGTGGCCTAATTTTAGCTTCAATTTGTTTTATAGCTGTTACTGTGCTGTTAAATACTGCTGGTTTTATCAGGTCAGAGTTATTTATAGCTGGTAAAAGCAAAACCAAAAAAAGAAATGGAGATTGCAATGAGTAGTTATCACTGTTCAGGCATCAACATTATATTTATTTGAAACTTAAGGAGAGACTGCGAGCAGTTTCTACCACTCCCTAACTAGCCACAGTGGCCAGGGCTGAAGCCAGGAGCTTCATCCAGCCTCGCACGTGGCTGCAGAGACCCAAAGTGCTGGGCTCCTGGGGAGGACTCCTGTGCGCTGTCCAACACCAGAACCACATGTGGTTACTGCAGTTTAACATGACGACAGAAGTGCAGTTGCTCATGCTAAGTGTGTGTGGCCAGTGACTGCCCCGCCAGGCAGTGCAGGTTACAGCACCCCGAGTAGACGGTGGAGAACGTCAGGTTTGCCTTGGGCTCTGTGGTTCCTTGATTTCTTGGGATTCAAAGCCTTTCCGAGTCTGCAGCTGCCTTTGTGGGGTCATACACGACTCCTAGTCCCGCCCCTGAAGTGCCTGCGCCACTGTGTCCCTCACTGTACCTACTGCAGTGCATTCCACAGAGCAGACGCTCAGATGGTTGGACTAGCTGAATAGCCCTTTAACTTACTAAGTATCTACCGTACGCCGAGGATTCTAGGTTCCCTGGGTAACTGCTGAACACACAGGCTCTCATGAAACAAAACTCTCTAGTGGGCAGAGGAGTAGAAAACTATATGCAAGTTTCTAGTTAGAAAGTGTTAAGTGGTACAGATGAAACTCGTGCTGGGGATTTGGGGGCCTATAGATGTGGTCTCATACTGCCAGGACTGTGGGACACTTAACTCCGGAGGTCCACCCTGAAACTGCACAAGCTGGCATTCAGACTTGGCCATTTGAACCCAAGTCTGAATGCCAGGACAGCCATGTGAGGACTCAGAGGAAAAGCAAGCTTGTTGAATTCAGATCTGTCTCATTTGTCGGCTTGTGATGTCGGGGCCAGTATAAATCCCTAGTTGAACAATACACTGCCCTACGGAAGGATGCAACAGGGTTGGGTGCAGCAACTAATTTAGGAATATAGGCTAATGTAGAGTTTATCACAAAACTGGAAAGGGCATTTATCTTCTACAATGTTTTCTTTGTTTTACAGCTTTGTTCCTGGGCCACATAAACCTGTCCTCAAAGAAGTCGTATTACAGAAGGCAAAATTCTTCCAAAATAAAAAATACCTTTCAAGAATTACAAGAGGTGGCAGGGATGATGCCATTCAAAAATCTGCCAGAAATACATCCTATAATTTTCAAGTCGGATACAAGGACATACAAACTCCTCCCAGACGATAAAGGAAGTGCCCGATCAACTTGATCTTGGGGAGCACGGGTAAGACTCCGGACTTGAGGAGCTCAGCATACTGCCAGGACTGTGGGACACTTAACTCCGGAGGTCCACCCTGAAACTGCACAAGCTGCAGGTAGGACAGATAACCTGCACTTCCTGGCATAGATATTTACCTTGCCTGTTTGTGTGACCACTCCTGATAATTCTAACACTCTTAAGAGCTTCAAGAAGTGCTGCCTGTTATGGGAGAATGCAAAAAGTGTTTCTGAAAGTAGCAGAGGTCTGATTACAGCATGTATAAGCATGTAACACTGGCCTATTCTGATTCTTTTGACTGTAGATCTGTGAACAGTCGTTTTCTGCAAATCAAGCCTTCTTTAGTACTGTTTTAACACTCATTTGAATATGTGGGCTGTTCCAACATTTATACTAGAAATGTCCTGTTGTGAAAAGCTGCCCTTTCTCGACTCTATTTAGACATCACTGTGTGTGTGACTAATTCTCATTGTGCTGGAAAGTTCCTTCTGGTGCTCCGCATCGCTTGGAATGGTGAGAAGCAGAGGGTAACTTCCGGTAGCTCTAAATCCTCCAATCCCACTTGGGAAACTCCCTAGTTGCCCAGTCATTCTGATACATTTCTGGTTTTTCCTATTTGTGGTCCCTTTTAATTCTAATCTATACATTTTTTTAGACAAGGGAAATCGAGACACAGCTTAGATTAAAACTCTAGGTGGCTTTCATCCATCAAGTAGCTGCTGAGTCAACAGTGGCAAACAGGATCAGCAGAACTCTGAAAACAGCCTGAGACACTGGGTTTGGAAAATAATAAGAAACCCATATGGGTTGCAAGGATGAATGAGAGCAGAGGAAGTTACAGTAGGAACGGTCTTCAGAGTGTCTGCTTCTGTTGTGTTGACTTTGTTGTCTCATCACCAGCCAGTGATGACTGTCACCGTTTGGGCCCCACCCAGCCAGAGAGCTGGCTGTGCAGCTGCCAGCACTGCCCTCCAAAGGAGGATGCCTCTCTTGGGGAAAGGTGGTTAACACCCAAGACCAGTTACTATCTGCACTCCTCTTTTTGCCTCCTTCCCTAAGCCTGGAAAGGACATGCGTGTATTTTTTTTTAATTACTTTTGCCAGCCTTACTCAGGCAGCTCTGTGGAGATAGCTCCCAGTGTGTTCAGAACAGGAAGCCCAAAGAAATACGTATTCTACTCATACTCAGGTATAACACACTGCATTTCTCCATCTGTTGTAAATGGTGCTTAGGGCTTCAGTAAAAATTTGTTTCAAGGACAGGACACCAATGAGCGGTAACTAAAGCAGTGTTTTAATAGAGGGGATTTCTTTTTTCCAGTTAACTTTGAATTAAGCACAAACACCTTTCTGTTTATTGTTGGAAATATTTTTTAAAGTTTTAAGTTGAATGTAGATTCTTAAAAGTGCTATTAAAATCAAGAGTCGTCACTTGTTTGCTTCCCCTTATTGCACAGAGCTGAGTGAGACTTGTCACAGGACGGAGCTGTCATGGAGCAGCAGTGGAGCAGCCCTCGGGTTCTGCATATAGAGCACTTAACCAGTGCTTGGAGGAGGAGAACGAGTGGTGGGGGACAGGTGAGCCAAGGGTCCAGATGGCAGCCCATCTACTATGCCAGGGCTTGTCCAGTGACCTTAACAGGAAGCCCATCCTGACCCCTGCACTGACTTGGCCAGCTAGCTCTGTTAGCTGCAGTCTGACCAGACCATAATAGCAGTGCCGCCTGGACTTGCCACTTGGATTCTCGTGCCTTTGGCCTGAGCGACTGGCACTTCCTGACAGTTCTGCTTACCTGTCTTGCACCATAAGTGAGCTCTAATTACAGAAGTGCTCAACAAGTGGCGTGTTCCTTACGCTGTGCATCTAAGGTCCTGTTTTGTCACTGACTGCTTCTGACAGACCATCTCTGTACCTTGGGACAAAGGCAGCTGGAGGGCTCACCCCTCTGCTTCAAGTCACGGCTAAAAATGCCGCCCAAGACAAGGACTCTCTATAAGCTTTAACAGCGATGACCACATTTTTAATACTAAAAATGTTTACATCATAACAGCTTTACAACCATCTTTAATACAAAATAAACTGAGCCCATGTTATTCTTCACATTTCTTACCTTGAAGGTAAATACATATACAATAAACATCCAGAATGTTGTCTGGCTGCATCTTGCTGCACGAGTAGACAGCCAGACACAACTTCTTGCCCATGTGGGGTAGAATGGTACAGGACAGCGATGTAGAACCACGATTCCGAACCAGCCACCTACATTAGAGCCTATTCACAACTTTATTACAGTTTATACAGACCATCAGGCTCCTATTTCCACACCTTCACAATCCCATCTCTGGAAGCGGTCACAATGAAGCCCTGTGTGCTCTGGAACGTGGCGATGTCCGTGATGATGTCATGGTGTCCCACGGGCAGAGACTCGGGGCCCCTTCGAGGGGTGTCATCACTCGGCCCCACCTTCTGATTACTCTGGATTTCCTGTTTGAAGGTCAAGCAAGGGGAGAGCCAGGAGTTAGACATCTGCGCCACACTGAGCTCGTGAGTGCCCCTGCTGCTAGGGTCTGCTGCGGGTAAGTCAGCACCTCTGCTCAGATACATGTGAGCAGAAACAGGATCCAAAATGATGACCGGATCTTCAGGAGCAGCCACTTAAAAATATGGAAAGGCCACTTTTCCTTGCATTTCCCCTTCTGGCAACATCAAAAATGAAAGGGAAAAACTTGGGAAGTGTAACAGATCATGAAGGACACACTTGGAGGCAGGGAGAGTCTCCTGTGACCTGCGCATTGACCAACGGCCAAGTTGGACCCTCAGTCCCCTGGAGGCTACACAGAGTCACACGGCTCACTTTCCTGCTGGTAAGGAAATGTTTTCATTATTTCCCTTTTTCTCAGTTTTTAACTTTGTAATAGTTATTAAGGTCTAACATAGTTTTTAAAAATACAAGAATAAAATAAGCATACTTCATAAATTCAAAATTCTAAGCCAAAAATATTTTTATGCCTCCAAAGGTGAACAGCCCGCCGTACCTGCACAACCTCAGTGCCTTCAATGACCTTCCTGTAGTAGCACACGGACGGGGAGCTGGTGCCTCCAGCCACGACATAGGACCTTTCTGGGTAAGCCAAGTCCCAAAACCTAGACGGGAGGAAATGCATGGAGGTCACCACCACAAAGCAATGCAGGGAGGTGAAAACCACTGGCTTACACGCTCATCAGAGCTAACAGAATGTCATCAGTTAGAGTGCCATCACTGTGCGACACCTTGCTTAAGTATCCATCGCCGGCTAATCCCCCTCCTCTGGAGGACTAAAGGTTGTTTGTGAGACTATACCTTATTTTCATGTCTGAGCCAGCTGTTAGCAGGATTGGATTTCCATCTGCAGGACTACAGTAGATCCCGTGGACACTGTGAGGAGAAGGCTTAAAAGAAATACGGTGGAGTCAAACAGAAATCAAAGTATTCCAAATGTTGGTGTCATCTTTTGAAAGTAATTGCTGGGGCCTGCACTGTGACGCAGCAGCGTCAAGTTCAGATCCACCACTTCTGACCCAGCTTTCCCGCTGCTGCACCTGAGAGCTGCAGAGGATGGCCCAAGAACTTGGGTCTCCAGCCACCCATGTGGGAGACCCAGATGGAATTCCAGGCTCCAGCCTGGCCCAGACCCAGCCTTGGCGGCTACCTGGGAAATGAACCAGCAAGTGGAGTATCTCCATCTTTCTGCATACTGCTTCATTTCAAATAAGCTGGCACTTACGTATGTCACAGCTGCATCTTTCAGACTTTATATATGCAGTTGTATTCAGAATGGTACACAGTGCTATATTTTAATCTCCAGATTTTTCTTAAAAATTTATATTTAGGACAACTCTGAGCAATACCTCAACTAAAGGAAAAAGTAAAGCAATCCTGTTATGTCCCTGTTGCCAAGAGCACTTAAGAACACAAGTACAGGGCACAGCATGATGGCTCAAATAGCTAATCACCCCTCACAAGTGCCAGGATCCCATGTGGAAGCAGGTTCATGTCCTGGCTGCTCCACTCCCCATCCAACTTCCTGCTTACTACCTGGGAAAGCAGCAAAGGATGGCCCAAAGCCTTGAGACCCTGCACCTACATGGCAGACCCAGAAGTTCCTAGCTTCAATGGGCTCAGCTCTGGCCATTTGGGGAATGACCAGCAAATGGAAGATCTGTCTCTCCTCTCCTCTGTAAATCTGCCTTTGTAATAAAAATAAATCTTATAGGCACACCTGTACTTTTGCTTTTTATTTATAATAGGATTACATCCTGGTGAAGCCGTTAATTAAAAATAAACTCAGTATGCCCATGCCGGAGTTCCACTGTTTCCTCTTGGGCTCATGCGGCTCAGAGCTGCTGCCCAGCACGGCCACCAGAGGGTGGTGCTCCACAACCAGCAGCCTGGGAAAAGTGCAACGCCGGAGGGCTCCTTCTGAACACCTGTACTTTCATGGCATTATAAAACAGAAAGATCATTAGCTTATCTGTATGTGCCAGAAGGTCACATTCCATTTTTTAATGGTCAAAATTTTTATTCTGGCTTTTCCAAATTAACTCAGATCTTCCTGGGGTTTCCAAAGAGATCTTACAAGGTTTTGGCAGCTAACCAAAACACTCAATGAAGCAGATGTGCTCAAGTTTAAGGGGCTAGAAAGCACCCACCCTACAGTCAGTGGCCACAAGATAGATGTGACATGGAAATCCACGAGAAGCACTACTTGGCAAAATGCCGAAATGCTTAGAAGCAAGAAGGCAAACCTGCAGCTCCGAGAGCGGCGGCGCGCTGCTGGCCCAGAGTGTGAATCGTCTGTCTCCGGTCTCCATGTCCCACATGGACACTTCATTGTTGCCCTGAACGGCTGAGGGAGACAAAGATCAGAACCGTTAACTTTGCTCTCAGAGCTCTCACATCTTGGTAGGTAACCAACATTAGGCTACACCCACTGCACTTTTGGCACCCTGCAAAAAATGCCAAATTCATGCTTTAAAGCAACATTATGACTATTGCCAGATCCAATGACTGTAAAGAGTTTAATATCCTAACAGTATGAATTAGATATAGAACTTGCCCTGAGCCATAGTCATCACGTAGATATGAGACAAATGGAGCCAGTGTGACACTCCACCTGAACTCAGAGCAAAGGCGCATGTCCAGTGGGTAAGGATCAAGGTCATTTTGTGGAAATAACATTCTGGTGTACTGAAAAGGCAAAGGTGAACAGACAGGGGCATGTGGGAAGAACGGGAGGAGCAAAACCCTAGGTGTCTGCAGGACATCAGTGCCTCGTCTGCCCAGAACACAACTGGACTGGACAGACAGGTAGGGGTGCAGGCAGATCACAGGCCTTCAGCATTCTACTCCTTAGGCATTTTTGAATAGGGGTAGCAGCAACATACCAGACCTTGATTTGCAATATTTACAGAGCCAGTCATATTTTTTAGGGATTGCCATTGCCCTTGGCATTGAAAGAAGGATGAAGGGAACTTCCCATTGTGAAGTGAGGCTGACAGATCCACACGTGAGCACTCTGAAGCAAGGGCCTGCCTGCCGTGTGGAACACATCAAGGCTGGCACCTGGTGGGAACGGCGGCAGTGCTGGTTCCTCCCACTTCCGGCCCTGTGCTGCTCCTGGTGAGCTGCATCAGCAGGTCCTATAGGTGAAGTCAGCATGTGGGAGGCGAAATGACCTCCAAAGACTCTCGTCCTATTCCCTGGAACCTGTGAGTGTTAGTGCGCATGGCAGTGTGTGGGCGTCAATAAGGACTTGGATTACTCAGGTGGACCTAAATGCAACCACAGGCATATTGAAGCGCTGGTGGCAGACTGGAGAGCAAAGGCAGCAGGCTGCAACAGTGATGCCAGGGGCTGCCTACTGCTGAGGATGAAAGGGGCACCATGAGCCAAGGGATGCAGCTCATGCAGCAGAATGCAAAGAGACAGGAGTACGGTCCTGCTGCCAGCTCGGGATTGTCCCACAAACCCACTGCAGAATCAATCTTTGTAGTTTTTAAGTCACCAAGTCTGCAGTAATTTGTTACAGTACTCACAGGACACTAACGCACGCCTAGCAGGCAGTGCCAAACAAGCAAAGCAAGCCACCTCGGCTGCCTCCAGCTGGGCGCATCCCTACCTCACGGTCACTGCTCCAAATCCCAGGAGCTGAGCCCTCCTCTCCTGCTCTGTTGCCACTCTACTCTAGCACTTGTGTGGTATCTTCTCATCTTTGTAAATACTTCCTCTTCAAATTCCCTTGAGTGTGTTAGCCATTTCCTATTGTAATCCTGGATTCCTGGATGACAAAAGACCAAAGGGATGGCAGGCCAATAATCCCCTACAGCCTTAGGGATCCCAGTGAGGAGTTGGGATGTTACAAGAAACCACTAGAAGGTGCTAAGCAGAAGAGAAACTAGTTATAGCAGCAAGGCCTTAAGACATCGCATTAGGGATTTGGGATCAGATGCTGACAACAGAAGCTTAAAAATGCTCAAATTCCGGGGCCAGCACTCTGCCATAGGTGGCGAATCCTCTGTCTGCAGCACTGGCATCCCATATGAGCACCAGTTCATGTCCTAGATGCTCCACTTTTTTTTTTAAGACTTATTTTTTAAGACTTATTTATTTATTGGAAAGATATACAGAGAGGAGGAGAGAGAGAGAGGAAGATCTTCCGTCCGATGATTCACTCCCCAAGTGAGCGCAACGGCCGATGCTATGCCGGTCCAAAGCCAGGAGCCAGGAACTTCTTCCGGGTCTCCCACACGGGTACAGGGTCCCAAAGCTTTGGGCTGTCCTCGACTGCTTTCCCAGGCCACAAGCAGGGAGCTGGATGGGAAGTGGAGCTGCCGGGATTAGAACTGGTGCCCATATGGGATCCCGGGGCGTTCAAGGTGAGGACTTTAGCCACTAGGCCACGCCGCCGGGCCGGGATGCTCCACTTCTGATGCAGTTCTGTGCTTATGGCCTCGAGAAGCAGAAGCAGATGGCTCAAGTCCTCGGCCCCCGCACTTCTGGGGGAGACCTGGAACGAACTCCTGGCTTTAGACTGACTCAGTTCCAGCTACTGCAGCCATCTAGGGAGTGAACCAGTGGCTGGAAGATTTCACTCTCTCTCGATCTCTCCTTCTCTCTTTAAATCTTAGCCTTTCAAATAAAAATAAATCTGAAAAAAAAAAGGTCAAATTCTGAATTTTAAGAAAGCATGGGACCAGATGAGATATACAGAGATCCAGTGTCAATGGGAAAGAGGTCAAGACCAAAGACCAAAGACTGAATTTTGAACCCTGAGGCCAGCCATGATTTTTTAAAGTCTTATCCATGTTCACTGGAAAGTCAGATCCACAGAGAGGAGGAGACACAAAGGGGAAGGCCAGCTTCTGGTCTATGCCCCAAGCAGCCACACAGGCTGGAGCTGAGCGATCCAAAGCCAGGAGTCAGAAGCCAAGAGCTTCTTCCAGGTCTCCCACAGCTTTGGGCGTCCTTAACTGCCTTCCCAGGTCACAACAGGGAGCTGGATGGGAAGTGGAACAGCCAGGACACAAACTGGTACCCACATGCAAGGCGAGGACGTAAGCCACTAGGCCACCATGCCATGTCTGAGGCTGGCCATGTCTGAGGCTGGCCATGTTTTAAAAGCTGATATGGTGAAAAAAGACTTAGCAGATCAAGAAATTAACAGCCAAGAGAAAGGTTCTTAAAACCAGGTCAAATATTTCAAAAATATGGAAATGATGAACTGAATAAATGTCAAGTCAAGTAAGAAGAGTCGGAACAGGAGCATTCAGTTCAAATGTAAAACACAAACCCTGCAACCATGAGTCTTAGTAGCAAAAGATAATATCCTTTCCAACCAACTGACCCAAAATAGGCCAACCTGGCATTTTACCTGCAATTACCCAGGACTGGTACAGAGGGTGCATCGAGAGGCGCCTGATCCGAGCCCGGGAAGGATGGCAGTGACTGGAAATGGGCAACTGGAACCTCATGTCCCAACAAGCCATGGTCCCACTGCTTGTACCTGAAGCGGAAAAAGCACAAAAGCATGACCGTGTGCATCAGCTGCCCTTACACCAATGGTAAACAGCATGAGCTTCGTAAGGCTGCATTATAAACTGCCCCCGTCTGAGAAAAAGGCTTGGTTCTCATGAGGCCATGTTCCCAATTTCAAACAGTAACTAACAGTGCTTACCAGTGCTATCCAGAAGCATAAACTGAAAATGAATAATCCATTAATTATTGACAAAGCACAAACACAGGTGTTAAAGATATACAACTGGATTCCGGAGTCAGCCGCCGTAAGTACCGAGAGATGTCTTCTTGGCACCTGGTGATCACCTTAGCATCTCCAAGTCACAGCAGCTTTGCGGCCTCACCAGATTGCAGCCATTTCTCCTGGTCTTTCCCCAGCAGTTAGAGTGACCAATCACAGCAGAGGTGGCCTACGTCTCTTCCCCTGACAACTTCCGCCCTACAAAGACCCTCAAGGGAAGTCCTTTTCCAGCACTGACGAGAGGGCTGTGACAGACAAAAAGTGCACTCTACGTTCAGAGCACTGGGTCTCTGCCCGCTCGGGGACCAGGGCCCCCACATCCTCCTGCAGCGCCTGCACAGGCCCACCCGGTGCTGTGACAGCTCCCCCAAATCCTCACTGCAGTGCCTGCACAGGCCCACCCGGCGCTGTGACAGCTCCCCCAAATCCTCACTGCAGTGCCTGCACAGGCCCACCCGGCGCTGTGACAGCTCCCCCAAATCCTCACTGCAGTGCCTGCACAGGCCCACCCGGCGCTGTGACAGCTCCCCCAAATCCTCACTGCAGTGCCTGCACAGGCCCACCCGGCGCTGTGACAGCTCCCCCAAATCCTCACTGCAGTGCCTGCACAGGCCCACCCGGCGCTGTGACAGCTCCCCCAAATCCTCACTGCAGTGCCTGCACAGGCCCACCCAGCACTGTGACAGCTGCTGCTCCCCCACATCCTCACTGCAGCCCACCCGGAGCGGCTAGAGGAGGAGGGTGCCGGGACATGGAGGAGTTTTGTAGCCTGCCTGAGGCCACTGGACTTTAACACTGTTTTCTGTCTTAAGTCTGCTGTTTCCCTGGCAGCAAGCAGCTCACTGAAGAACAAGGAAAAAGAAACTGTTTGTGTTCTAGGCTACTGATTTCACTCTGATTTTTTTTTTTTAAATGAAAAAAGCTAAACTGAAAATGACTGTAACACAGTAATCATGGGGCTTAAATTACCAATGAAGGAAAGGAAGAAACAGCTTCCGGAAGATGGCAACTGCAGCATTCAAGTGGCACTTCAAGCCCAGACAGTGACAGCAGAGTCGGCTTACCAATGCAGAGCCAGCACTGGTGGATATCCACAGCAAAGGACGTGATGAGGCCTGACTTTAAGTCGTGCTTTAACGTCCACGCGTTGCTTGAAGACCTGAGGTCCCAGCCGACCAGGGAGCCATTCACTGTGGCGTAGGCGAGCACCGACTGGGCGCCCGCGTTGAAGTGATGCATGTCCACGACACAGCCATCTTTCTTGGGATCCAGCGTTCTAGAGAATGGACGCCATTTAAGATGGTTTCATACATGACCCGTGCTCAGGCAGCAAAAAACCACGTGACTCCATCGAGACAGTGGTAGCTCAGGCATGTTTTTCTTTACTTCATTTTTCTCTCGGCTTCCCGTGTGTTTACCTTACACAGTCACATTACTGAACCTAATATAGCCATAGTGTGATCCTCGTGATCGCAGTAAACAAATCCAGATTTTTTTTACCCAGCATCCCTTCACTGTAATCCTGTCCAGGACACAACACGGTATTGCTCTCGCACTCCCTCTGCCTGCCCCAGCTCTTCCATCTTTCATTATATCTTGATACTTTTAAAGGCAACTGGTTATTTTGAATAACAGCCTCCAATTTGATTTACGTAACAATTTATGCCTTACTGGGAAGGGTGCCACACAGAAATGATGTAACCTTCCCAGTGCATGACAAGCACCCAATATTAGCTTCTGTCACTGGTACACTAACTTCCAGCATTTGGTAAAGTTGGTGTCTGCCAGGATTCTCCACCATAAACTCATTTTTTCCCCTTTATGTTATATAGGATTTGGTGTGAAAACTTTGAGACAAGGTGAAAATCTCATATCCACCTTAACTTTTGCACTTTAACTTTAGCATCCCTGAGGCAGGTTATGTGTGGGCTCAAACAGCAACTTCCCGTGGTCCTCACTCCTTCTGTATTTACTGCCTGTGCTTCTGTAATAGTAAACTAATGCAGGAGAAGCAGCAGTTCACAGAACACCTCTGGCTCTGATGCGGCACCAGAGTTCATTGTAGCTTGCTCCTTTTTTAACTTCACACCTTTCTCAGTCCCTTCACCTTCAGCCTTGTAGCATCCAGTCCAAACATGCTACTCCACAGGGACGCAGCTTGGCTCCCTTGCTCTCATGGCCTTCAATATCATAATGAACTTTTATTTGTAAAACAGATTCACTTGTCCCAGAGTATATTCCAATTTTCCTCCTACATTCTGCTTGGTTTTTTTTCCTACTTTATACACAATAAAACCCAATTTTTGTGGCATCCATTTAAGGAATTATGACAAACATACAGCCAAGTAATTTTTACAGCAGAACTACAAAAGCTGCTTCCTGCCCACCTGTCATCAGTTTCTGCCCCAATCCCAAACCAACAGCAGCTCAGCGATCTCCTCCCTCCCAACAATTATTTACTGAACTCTTAGCATTTTTCAAGAATTATGCATATTTAGGAGATCCTCCTATGATTTTTGTTCCCCAGGATATCCTAATTGCAAACAACCCATAGCTTTATGGGTCTGACTTCTTCCAACAGCAACATAAACTCTGGCTTCTCTGATGCTGTTGCGTCAGTCAGCAATTCCATCCCTCTCATCCGACAGTGCAGGCCAGTTTACTGTTCTCTCCCTTAAGCTGAGGCATTTCTAAAATCAAAAAAACAAAACAATCACAACACACTGGTCAGCCTCCCTGGCTAACATACGGTCAACAATGGGTGTTTCTGGCTTGCTGAGTCTCACAGATTCTTATTGCATAGGCTTTGTTTTTTCTTACAACTTTTTAAAAAATGCAAACATCTTTCTTATTTTATGAACCATAGAGGCTGTTGTTTGTGACTTCTGTCTTCTGATAATCATATTACAGAAATTACCCTACAGTAGGAAACTTAAAAACCAAGTAAAATGTGAAATGACTCCTTCCGCCCATGTGATGCTGACAGCTGCAGAGCAGATGCTGTGACTGAATGACATAGAGGACTTGTGAGCCTCTGTGGAGCGCACTGTGCCCAGACGCATGAAGCCTAAGCACGCTGGCACGGTCTTCCTGGTCATACCTGCTCAGTGTAAACAGTAAACACTGCCAGCTTTGAGAGAACATGGTGCTCCCTGGGCGGATCACATGGCACGCTCTGCCAGTGACTGGTCTGCAGGAAAGCCCAACAGGCGTTGTCACTACAAAGCCACCCTCTGCTGTAGCACTTGAGAGAAGAATGGCAGATAAAGACTATCTATAAAACGTCCAACACAGCTGCTCGAATCTACGGAGTCAAAGGTGTTGAAAACACCACTTATTTTTAAATGTAAAAACAAAACAGGAAGAAATCCTGAGTGACCCAGGAAACAACCCTTTCTGCCTGAAGCTGCCCAGTGACCAGAACTGACCATCCTCTACGCTTAGCCTTCCCCCTCTTGCTCTCCTGCGTCCAGCGTGGCCTGCTCGGCAGCCAGCTGCAGCAGCTTGCTCACTCCCTGCCGTCTTTCCCTTTCCTCTCAAGCTGGGTCCTGCCAGTCAGACAAGGTGGCACATTACCACACTACACTGACATTGTTCATCTGTACATCTCTCGCACCAGGCACGTTCTTAGAGAACAGAACTGAACTGAGGTTGTCTTTGAATCCTTACGGTGTAACATGTCATTCAAAAACCTTTACACATCTTACCGTGCATGCATTTAATCTGAAAGTAACCACTGTAAAACTAAAGAAAATTAAACCACTGAGGATTGTTTTAAATGGTAAAGTAAAGCAGCTGCACTCTATGTTCCTATCGGCTGCAGATTTTAATGTGAAATGACAGAATGCTGACGTTAAGTGTTCTCTCATCAAGATCACAAACATTCTCAAAATCAGCCAGACACATAACTAATAATTAGATTATTCACAGATTACAGACGGGGACAAACCACATGTTCAAAGCTCCCTTTAGATCTTGACAAATTTGCTCAAAATAAGCTCCATGGAGACCCATCCTAGGAAACTAATCACATTTGATGATCCTGCACTGCAAGCACAACTTTGCTTGCATTATGGACTGTCAAAGCCAAAGCCAAGCACAACATAAGAAGCCCTCCATGTTCTAAAGGAGAGTGCAAGGGCCAGGGACAGCCCTACACACTCTCCGTACACAAAGTGTAAACTCTGGGACAGACACACGTACCTGCTTTGCAGCGGGTGGATCTTGGGAGACTTGGGCAACTTCGAGGCCTCAATGCCCAGCAGCTGGACAGCGCCGCTGTCCGACGCCACGGCCAGGTAGTGGGAGCCCTGGCAGAATGTCAGCGTCCTCACCCGTCCTCCACTCCGGCTGTACGTGAGGATAGACCTGGACAAACCACACAGCCAGACACACCACTGTCGCAGTGTTAAACAGCCACACGACGGCAGGGAACAAAATGACCACTGGAGGTCTATTTGATCTCCCCAGTCTGACAAGAGATTCCAAATCTCACCCTCAAAAGCAAAGGTGCAACATCTTTTGTCTGCTGCTTTCAAGTGACCATCTTTCCATACTTGACTGCTGTTGTAGAAGCCAGGCTATTCTCCTCCATCTCGTTTAGCGCCTCCAACCTGGGGACCTGACCATCTTTCAGCTCTTACACATCCACTGAAGCTGCTTTACCTTGACCCAATACATCAATCTCCCCTACAATAATCTTAGTTAAAATTAATAAGCTAAATGAGCCAGAAATAAAGTAATCCTGCCCCAAAATTATAAAAAGTACAATTTAGAATACTACAAAGCAGGGGTGAGGGTGGGGGCACTGTGACACGGTAGGCTAGGTGTCCACCTGTCACACTAGCATCCCCTATGGGCTCTGGTTCAAGTCCCGGCTGCTCCATTTCCAATCCACCTCCCCTTATGGAGCAGCAGCAAATTATTCAATCCTTGAGCCCCTGCACCCACACTGGGGACTAACAGGAGTCCCTGGCTCCCAGCTTTGGATCAGCTCAGCTCTAGCTGTTGCAAACAATTTGGGGAATGAATCCACAGATGGAAGACCTCTTTGTTTCTCTTTCACTCTGTGTAACTCTTTAAAAAACAAAAATACTATAAAGCAGTAAGCTGGAAAATCTGTACAAGTTTCTAAAATCAGCAATTTTTCAAGAAAGAGTCTCCAAGGAACTGAAAGTTTTACTCCTTAAAGGCATGTCACAAGGGACAGGCTGAAGAAGCACACGGGAGAAGAACTAAGTGCATAGGAAAACGGGTAGAGGTACGCTGTCATTGATATAACACTGGGACACACTGCCGGAAGTACGCCAGGAGATGCACCAATCACGGCTCCCAAGTAAAAATCACCTGGCTCACTCCTGAGTAAAAATCCTCCTCCTCACTCCTGAGCACAGTACCTTGTAGTAGTGGTCTTCCCTTCCATCTTCTGACTGTTCCAGATCTTCACGGTGCCATCATTTGAGCACGTGGCAAAGAGTGAGTGTTCATCAGATACTCTAATTCGATTCACGGCTGACTTGTGTTCATGAAGATGTGCTACCAGAAGGCCTTTAGGACGCCACCCTTAGGGGAAAATGATTATATTGTAATTTACAAACACAATCTATTCTCTGCCCCAGCTACATCATCTAGAATCACCTTGTGATCAATAATACCAACTATTACAATTAAAAGGTACCACCTACTAGCAATAAATACACAGTGATCATACTGGATCAAGACTGATATTTACTAGACATCAAGTAATGTATTTACTTGATCAAGTGATGTATTTACAAAACATCAAGATAACAAGTACTGCTCCAACAGCATCAGAGACACTGCACCTGGGGCCCTTCTCCAGTATCTAACCCTGGAAGTGCTGACCACTAGCTGTGACCGCAGCAGATCATGACTGCCTTAGCCAGAGAACCTGGTATGAGGATGGTCATCTGTGTATGGAAGACTCTAAGACCCGGCTCTACCATATCAGAAATGTGGGCTGCAGTGACACATTTGGGATCCCCACAGTTGCAAGGTGAGGATTTAGCCATTGAGCCATCATGCTGAGCTCCAACTCTGCCTTCCTAATAGATTAAAAAGAAAAATACTGGTCCAAACCCAGCTGTTTCAGCCATTTGGGAAGTCAAGCAGAAGACAAAAGATCTCTGTTTCTGTTGCTCTTTCACGGAAATGAATCTGAATAATCATACAACAGCAACAGAATGCTCATGGGCCTTCCAACGCTTTACCCACTCTATAACCTTCTGTTCCATACATTCTTGTGTGATTAGCTTCCTCTAATGAATCCCCCAAGGCAAGAAAGCACATTTTAACCATCCTAAATCATTCACAGAACACCTAGAACAGGTCTTACATGTAACTATCTCCTATGTTTAACAAACTTCGATTTAAGTGTAACTGCAGACAGTTATGCTGAAGATCATATTGTACTGGAGATCAACACTGTGCTTAACTGTGTGATGTAATTCTAGAAAATTCTTTTAACAAAAAAATGCAAAGCCAAGGCCAATGGCAAGTCTGGCTCACACTGTGTAAACAGCTGGACACGATGCTAGAGGATATACCGGCTTCACAGGGACCAGCACCGCTCTGCCATGACAGCCAGATGATCCAGGGAGGAGGTCAGACACTCCCTCTGCACACAACTCAAGTGTGGAATGAAAAAAATCAACACAACTCTAAATCCCAGAACTGACACATCTACTATGATCACTGAATCAGATACGTAAATTCACTGAAGTCAGTCATTTGTGTACACATATTCTTATAAAATAAAGTGGACACTTGGAGGTCAATTTTCTATTTGTAAAGCAGGGCTGGTAACTAATGACACACCACAGAAACAGCTCACACTCTGAGCGTTTCTTCAGGACATTTCTATTCTTCAGTGATGCACCCATCACTTAATTTCTAAATCTTTAAATCAATATCCTCGACCAGCACTTCCCCAAGCCCACCTCAAGTGCCCCAAGAACTCCTGGGATGTTTAAATGTCTGCTCACAAGCATAATACGTATTTCTCCTAAGAGTTTTCAAATTCAATTTTTATTAAAATACAGAAACTCATTCAAAAACCTAGTATCAAATTTAGTATCAAAAATTAGTGCTGCCACAACAGGTTAGACAATTCTGTTAACAGATAAATGAAATTTTTACCTGAAATTATCTCTGAATTTCTCTTTCTCAGAAAATAAAGGAGCATTTCTCCAAAAATTTTACATTGATAACCACTAACATGGTAAGGTTATAGGTGACTTTTTTTTAGTAGCCAATATTTTCTAAAATTTGTACCATTTGATGCCAAGGAACATTAAACGATACACGTCGAACTCTACAGATAACAAAACCAAGCAACTATTATTCAATGAGCAAGCACAATCTAGTAGCTACATGGAGAAAAACAAGCAGAGAGAAGCTACAAAACTGACTCGGCCCAGGAGGACACTGCAAAGTTCCCGTAGAGCCAAAGGGACGCAAACGCCGCAAACAAGCCAGATTCTCCCGTTTCCCTCGTCCCCTTTATCTGCTCTGCCTAGGAGCTCAGGCCGTGCTTCCTGCACTGAGCTCGGGCGGTCAGGGATGCCGGGGGTCGGGGATGCCCTTACCCGGCGGCGGGGGCTTGCTCTCCCACTCGGCGTTCTCCATCATCTGCTTGGCTATCCTCTCGGCAGCACACTGCTCCCGCTTCTGCTGAACGAGCTGCTGCAGCTCGCTTTTACAGCTTGTCATCCGGATCTGATAAGCAGACGGTACAATTGTACTACTTAACACCTGTATGCCTGGTTTTTTATTCTGAACATTAATCCCTTCTGCAATCTGTAAAACAGAATTATAGGTAGTGTGTCATAAACAAAGTATATGCAAATACTTTTTAAAAATCGATTTGTCCCACCCAGCTTTTTGTCATTCATGTACCAATTTTGAAATCCACATAACAAAATGACATTTTTTCAGTGACAATCTAGTTAAAAGGAAGTTTAACCAAACACTGCAAACTTCTATGCTTTGTAAAACATGACTGATCCGGTAAGAATACCTTATACCTTAAGTTGCCCACTTATTTCGACACATCAAAATCACCCTGCCCTTTGTTACACACAGCAAGCTTGGGACTTGGCGCCTCACAGAGAGTGCACTGTTCCAGGAGGAACACGGATCACCTCCAAGGTTCACCCCAGCCTGACTTGTAACCACAGTTCACACTCACATCTTTAACCCACAATTTCATATCACTTTATTGACAAGTACTCCAAAATGAGATCTTATTCTAATGTTTTCAACGAGGTTTCTCCTAGCTATGAAATTTAAGATGTATCTCTTACAAAGTCACACTGGCGTTTCCAGTACAGCACACCACCTTAAGCGCCCGAGCAGCAGGAGGGGACCCCTGCGCAGGTACCTGTGGGGACGTGGACAGTGGGCCACCAAGGCCAGCAGAGGACTCGGAACGTGGAGGCTTCCCAGGCTGAATCACTTCCTGGTCACTCGCTTTGGGTAGGGCCTGCGAGATGTTTGGGGGTTCCAGTGACCCAAACATGCTTTTCCATTCTTCGTTTATATTGGAATCTTGTTTTACATGTTTTCTAGCTGTGAAAAAAAATATTCAAAGTAGGCCATCTGAAGGTAGCCTTTGACACCAGCCTGGCACGCACCGTCTCTGCTCCACAGGCTGGCGGGCTTCCTTCCGCGCTCTCAGCGCCCACAGCGATGCGTCAACTAACCGAGTCCGCCCTTGCACTTAGGGCAGATGAACATGGTAAGAACTAGAATGACTCTGAGTGCCAAGGCTAGCTCAATTTCAAGTAACTGAAAAATCAACAATAAAAATAACTTTCTCAAGTGTCACTGACCACACTGCTGATCAAGAGCTTTTTCCAGGAAACATACTTGAAAACCATAATACACACACAGGAAAAAACCACTGCTACCTAGCAACTTCTTGATGATAGCTAAGACACGACCTCAGTAATAACAAGTGCATTAAATAACGCAAAGTTTCAGTGTTACCCAAATACAACACGAGTTGCTGTCATAATTCCCCAGGCTGACACACAGTTCAACTCTGTAACACGCACAGATAATCTGATCATTTGCCTTCACATTATTGTCAAAAATAGTTTTACAACTTGTCCCTACCGCCCTAGCAAAATAACCTCAAACATGTAAATATCACTCTGCTAATGTCTACTTAGAGCACTTTTTTTCAGAGCATTCATACATCGATGGACATTTTTAGCTGCCTATCAGTGTCTCTCAGCGCTCCGGGACTGAACACAGCACACCCTAAGGAGAGCGTAACCTCCCTGACAGCTTCCTGTCGCCGTTCCAGAGCTCTGCCCACACCAGCAACGTCAGTTCATGCTAACCCAGCCAATCTCATTGCTTTAATTCGCATTTAGTCTATTATGTTCCATCTCTGAAGCATGCGTTTACACTTCCCCAGCATTTATTTGTTCAAACCTTTCACCCTTTTTCTTTTTGGGCACTTGATTCCTCTTATTTGCATGAATGTTATATGTATTGCAGTTATACACCATAATTAAGTTGTAAAGACTTCATCTCAAATATAACAACTAGAGGTTTATTTAAAGTAGATTGCATTAGCTTCATTCAAAACCTGATACTAGAACGCAGAGATCTTGAAAAGAATGTATGTAGCAGCCAATATACCCATAAGACCTTTTACAAACCTCATCCACTCAATGCCCATGGCAGGACACGTGACAGCTCCAAATCTCAATTCTTGAAATGGCTACTGTCTCCACTCTTCTGTATTTCACTGTTACATCAAGACCATTCTAACAAGTCACAGGGTAAGATTTGCTAATAGCAAACTAAAAGTATTTATCTTATTTATACACACAGCTTTGAGGTAGAGGATACAGGATTCTAAAATAAGCATCTTTAATCACGCAGTCCAGAGCTGCAATTCAGGTGCACCACCTAGTCTCTCAACATTCAGTTCACTTGGCCACTATTCCTGGCCCAAAAATCTTCCCACTGAGTGATGGTGTCACTACATTAAGAGCATTCTTTATCTGGAGAGCTAGCCTTCTTACTTTATGACTAATCACCTTCAAAGCAGTCAGAGGAAAAGCTAACAGTAACACAGTGTACTAACCCCGCTTGTCATCTGGCTCTTGTTTGGTTTTCACAAGATCAACTTGTCTCCCAGTTATGCCGAGGGCTGCCAAGTCGATCACACCTTTCTGACTACTATCATGAAGATGGCTCTGGTCCACCAGGTTGGCCTTGGCCTTGTTAGATTTCATCATGAAGTCTTTCAGGGCCAGAAGTTTGTCTTCCTCTTCTTCTGTCATTCCCTAAAACAAAATAAACCATATGTTATAGGTTCCTTTCATGAGCAATCCAACAGGCTTGAGAGCGACTCACTAAAGGGTTTCCCCTATACAATTTGAAATTCAGAGTCAGAATGGGAAAATGATAGAGGCAACACAACAGAACAAACGTGTCAACGCACAACACTGTGTCCCTACCAAGATCCAGCAGGGCACTGGCGCACTTCTTCCTTTGCATCACAATTTATTTTCTTCCTAATTGATGCTTTCAAATACAATCCATCTTTCACCTGTCCAAAGAGGGGCTTATATGGCTCAAATTGGCCATCTGCCCACACACGCCAGCATCCTAAAAAGACACCGGTTCATGTCCTGGCTGCTCCACTTTCTATGCAGCTCCCTGCTGATGGCCTGGGAATGCAGCGGAAGATGGTTCAGGTTCTTGGGATCCTACACCTACGTGGGAGTCCCAGAAGAAGCTCCTGGCCTCGGATCCGCTCAGCTCCAGCTACTGCAGCCATCTGGGGAGTGAGCCAACAACAGATCTTTCTCTCTTTCTCTCTGTAAATCTACCTTACCAATAAAATTAAGTAAATCTCTTTCTAAAAATGTCCAAAAATTTATACAATAAATTAAACTTAGTAGTCTCTGATGAATAAATCTTTAGCATCTAAACATAACATCTGAATATAGAATATTAAGCAAATAAAAACATACATACTTCAACTTTGCTACCCATTGTGTTCAGAATTTTACAGAATGTAGGGAAACATCTAGAATGTTCAAAATGTTCTATACAACTGAGAAACTCAAAGGATTATTGGATGAACCGGAAATGTAAGAAACATTGAGCAGCATTCCAAGATGGCAGCAACTGTCAGCTTGCCTCTGTTCAAATTCCAGCCCTATTATTTACTCGCTGTCTGATCCTCAGTAAGTTATCCAATTTCTCTGTATCTCTATGTATTCAGCTAGATGGTGAAGATAATTACTAATACTCATCTTAAAAAGTGAAATTTTAATGTGTCAATACAATCAAAAACACCAACACTTGAAACTAAAACAATAAATATTAAATAATCCAAAGAATTAATTAAACATGCAATTTAAATATTCTGGTGAATGTGGCAGTTCTGCATTTTCGTTCCAACCACTTACGAAATCCCCTAGTTCATTTTCTTATGCAAATGAATAAATATTCCTTTAATAAAATGACAATTCCTCTGAGGCCTCAAGCTAGAATCCATTAAAGTACCAAACAAAATTCACAGGCACAATGTGACACAACAGAATCCCAGAGTTGGAAGGCTAAAAAAAAAAATGCCATAGAATTGCTTTAAAGCATGAAATAAAAATAAAGTTAAAAATCTCTTTTTTTGTAGTAAAGAATAAAATCATTTTGTACTCTTTACTGCTGGCTCAGTAAATGGATGCAATTAAAACGGGAGTGCTTGCCGCGAGGATGAGAACAGGGCCGCACACTGCTGCTGGCCAGTCCTGCTGCACGCCGCGGCGCAGACAGACAGCTTGCCGACGCGTCATGTCCCAGAGTGTATTTTAAGTCTCACCATCTGGAACTCTGAGCACATTTCCCCATGGAAACAATGCTATGCTGATCTAGAAAAGCACGCTTCACCCAGGATGTGTCTCAAGTAGAATCCTGTTCTGTAGGAAGTGCTCAGAATTCCCACTTGTGTAAGCCAGAAACAAGCCTCTTCCTTCTGTAGCTTTCACATTAGGAACAAAGACCCACTCTGCTCCCCGCCCACTCCAAGCTCGGCTGGCAATCTAAGGAAATTCCAGGGACCCTCCCCATCAACAGGGATCCAAGAGGCGAAGGTACACAGATGTGCATGGACTTCTTGCTAAATCTGTTAATCCCGAACAACCTTCTCAGTCCAAGCTCTGCCCTTTGCCTATTTTACTGGAAAGGCAATCTGGCTTCGGACTTGTTACGGGTATCTTTCAGACTCCTTGTGAAGCTGGTAGTTTCCTGCTGTTTCTTCTCAGGAGCCCTGGATGCTCCACGAGCAGCACCTGTCCCTAGAATAGAATGTGTCATCTCTCCCCAGACTGCATGGCTATAAGCATCACCCACAGCAACAACATTAAACAAGGACAATTCTTGCTTATTTTTTTTTTCACTCAAACGAAGGCATACATGAAAGGCAAAGGAGCACACCAAGAGGCAGCACGCGCAGCAATGTGCCTTTGTGTTTTCATGGTTTTCACCGTGGCACAGCTCGTGCAGCAATGGCACGGATCAACAGACCAGCAGGGAGCAGGCGGCAAGTGACAGGAGCCTCCCTTCCCACTCCCCTCCCTGTACCACGGGAGCGACAAATCTCCACCTTAGCAAGCCCAGAAGGGACTCGAGGCTGGGCTAGCCCCACAAGGTAATTAATGACTTTAAATTAAGGCCAATCTTCAGGATTCAGGCTTTTAATTTAGTAGACAAGCTAGGCAGCACGCGCGCGCACACACACACACACACACACCCACACCCACCCACCCACACACACACACACACACACACCCACACACACACACACACACACCCAGGCCTGAAGAGATTTAACCCTGGATGAGTTTCATGACAGCTGAGATCTTTTTTGTAAGGATTACCTACTCCCTAAGAACAACAGAAAATGTAATTTGGAATTCCATTTCCCATAAATCACTTTCTAAAATAAAATACATCTCCATGCAGTGGACAAGGTTAAAAGAAAACACAGAACAAAAAGCTCTTTGGAAATTCAAGTCACATCAAATGGGGTGCTAGCAAACAGGGAAACAGAAGCAGCGTCCTTGAAGGGAGACAGCCTTCCCCCTCCAGGCAGACTCAGATCTAAAAACACAAACCGATGCTGCCCAGCCTCCCATGGGCACACAGTCCAGTGATCAATCACCCTAACCAATGTCTGGCCATCACACAGCCCTGGATATCCAGTAACCAGCACACTACATGACAAGGATTTATATCGCAAAACTGTTAAAAAAAATTTCTCTACAACTGAGTGCATTTTCTCATCTGATCTTGTTAGACAAGGGATGGCAGGCAAGCATTCTCTGCACAAGCGTTCTGCAGAGTTAAGGACAGTCGTTGAACTTGTCCCTCTGTATCTGCTCCTCCACCTGACTTTCTAATCATTTTTATTCCTATCTTCATTTCTCTAGAAGCCCCTTCCATATAGCACTATCAAAGCAGGAGGCTGAATATGTTTTTTACCTAGTAAGATATTATCAAGGGCAACATGAAAATTATTCCCCAGTTTTAACAAGATTTGTTAATCCAAAATCAGAGGCTTTTAAGATACAGCAGTAAAATTCTTAATTTATTCCAAGATGCAATATAAATACATCATTTCGACTGTCTGCATCTAGTCAGCATTTGCAATGTGGACCGACACTGACAAGGATTCTTCTATACTCCATCCATGTTTGCAACGTTTCTGCTAGATGAATTGTCTTATATTTCTAAAGCATAAAATACAACTAAATCATTTTTTTAATCTAAGGTTATTTGTTCATTGTTAACACTCATTTATTCAGCCAGTAATCAAAATGAAACTGAACACTTCCTATTTCATATAACTTTTTTAAAATACAAATTTAAGCACTAATTTATTAATTTATTTTTATTTGAAATGCAGATTCAGAGAGAGAGATCCTCCATCTAATGGCTTACTCCACAGATGGCCACAACTGACAGGCAGGCCAGAAGCCAGGAGCTTCTTCCAGATCTCCCACCTGGGAGCAGGGGCCCAAGGACTTGCGCCATCGGCACCGAAGGCACAAAGGGAGCTGGACTTAAAGTGGGGCAGCTGGGACTTGAACTGGCACCCAAACAAGAAGCGGGCATCACTGATGGCTAGGAGAAGCCTCACCTACCACACAGTGGCACCAGCCCCATTGTATGTTATTTCTTACTTAGCTCAACACAATGCCTTCTCATCCTCTACTGTCTCTGCTTAACTATCAAAGTAAATGCCTAAGTTTGCCCCATCTTGTTACGATAAAGCCTAATCAATCAAACTACTTTCAAAGCATTTGGCCCACTGAGTTAAGGTGCTCTTTAGGGACCTGGTGCAATGGCTTAGTAGCTGTATTCTCGCTTGCATGCGCTGGAATCCCACACGGGCACCAGTTTGTGTCCTAGCTGCTCCTCTTCCCATCCAGCTCCTGGCTTTGGATCAGCTCAGCTGGGTTGTCACAGCCACTTGAGGAGTAAACCAATGGATGGAAGATCTTTCTGTCTCTCCTTCTCTCTGTAAATCTGCTTTTCCAATAACAATGTTAAACCGATGATGCTCACGTCCCATTCTGGAGTGTCTAAGTTCAAGCCCTGCGGCACTCCTGCTTACAGCATCCTGCTAACACCCACCACGAGAGGCAGCCGATAACAGCCGAGATCTGCAGCTTCCTGTCACCCACATGGGAGGCAGGGATTGAATTCTTGGTCCCCGACCGTGGCCAGACTCAGCCCTGGCTGCTAAAAGCAGCTCAGAACTAAATCCGCAAATGAGAGATCCCTACCTCTATCTCAAGCAAAATGAACAGAACTTCAAAAACAGATCAGAGGTTCCAATGTGTTTACGAAATCAGCATGTCAGATTTCAGAAGAGCGATCCAACCTGTGACAGCAGTTTCTTTAGAAGCTGTGCGATGGCAGGGTCCTCCGGCGGGGGGCAGTCAGGCAGAGCCCCGCTCCGCTTCTTCTGACGCATGTGCAGGTGTCTGAACAAGCTGGTAATATCTTTAGACCTCAAGGCGTAATCAAATATGGAACGGCTCACTGGCTCTTTCAAAACACTGAGCAGAACTAGTTTTCTTTCAATCTATATTAGAAAAATAAAGAGGAATCAGCGAAAAGTCCATACAGGATAGTTATGTGCAAGTTAAATACACCCATCTCTTAAAACTTGACACATACACCTTTTTCTTAAGGAAATCACAGACAGCACCTAAAGTTTTTCAGAAGAAACAATTTTACATGAGGCAGTTTTGGTCCTTCATTATTAGCACTAGAATACACATCTCTATCGTACTGAAGACTAACAATAAAACCCAAAAGAAAATTTTAGACAACAAAAAGCCTTTTCCAGATCCCAGTATGTCAACAATTTCCTATAAAAGACTCCCGGTTATGACTCTAGCAGCGGCAAGAAAATATTCAGACCACAAGTCTAACCCCTCAGCCACACAATCCCAATAAAATCAACCACTTGCAAAAACATTGCTGTCAGGACCAGCACCATGGCACAAGGGCTAAACCTACATCTACGACTCCATCACTCCCAAGGGGCACCAGTTCCAACCTAGGCTGCTCCACTTCCAACGCAGCTGGCCCAGGAAACCTGTGCAAGATGGCCCCTGCACCGAGTCTCTGCTTCCTGGCTCTGGACCAGAGCAGCTGCAGCTGCTGCTGTCACGGGGAAATGAACCAGCACTCTGTCTCTCCTTCAGATAAAGAGCAATCTTAAAAAGCAAAATGGTACATTCTCCATTGAGTCCACGAAAATCTTTCCTAAAGTATGCCCCGGAACACTTATGTATATAGTAAAAGGAAAACACTACCAACAAGAACATATTTTTAACCCCCTGCCAGTTACGAAGTGGAACTGATTCTAAAAGGTTGTCTTTTGTCCAATCCGAGCAACAGACAGGTAAAATCTGTGAGGCAAATGGGCAGTTATCCCCTTAACACCTAATTCTGGAGAACAATGATAAAAACACCCATACTGGTTGTCAGCAACGCAGGAAGCAGCTTGACCCGCTGTGCAAAAAAACACTGTCCCACTGCATGCTATACCTTGCACAATGAAGTATAAAAATTTTTTCTCAACTTCAAAGGTGCTTGTTTCATTCTCATTAACTACTTAAGAAGGAATATAAAGCTGCTACAGGTCAATTTAAATCAATTCAAAATAAATAAATAAAATTCACAACATCTTTTAAGAGGCACACTTCAGAAGCAGCACTGACTCAAATAAGGAACACACATACCTGTATGATTGGCTGGGTGATGTACGGGTTAAGATAAGGCATCAGTTTGCAGTAGACATCGGCTGTACTTATCTGATGGGCCACCACCGTGATGAACCCCACAGCGCCATAGCGTATCCAGAGATTGGGATGGCACAGGAACGGGGCTACAGGAGGGGAAGAAAGGTATGTGTCACTCCAGGTTCAGGGCAAATAAACACCTTTACAGCCCTATCACATTGTCACTATCAACTTACTTCATATATTCAAAGACTAAAGCCTAAACTCAAGCAACTGAGCATCCTGTTGTTATTACACTTTCTTAACGTAAGTATGAACAAACTACAGAAAGAAGACGTTGTTTACCTCCTGAGGATTAATCATGCAGCCAGTGCTAAAGATGTGTGGGCCCTCACCCATTTACAACACTTACTTAAAACCTATCGGCCAGATATATCCCCAAAACACTATTCCTGTCCCTCTGGCAGCCCTCCAGGACTTCAAGCACATAAGCTCTACCAACTGGGGGCAGAGGCTGCCTCCTCTCCAGGACACCCACAAACTCGGACTGAGCCAGCCACCTAGCTCGCGATTTAACTCACCAGTCTCTGTGAATGGGAACTGAAAAAGCAGAAAGCACGTCTACTCGGCAGGTTTAAAATACAAAATTAAACCATAACTAATGTTTTCCACCCCTTTCCTTTTCCCTATGTTTTGTATTAAACCTAAAATCAAGGCCAACTAATTAAATTCAGGCTAACCTCACTTAAAATGCAACGCAAGCTTCTAAAAGAAAAAATAACATCTATTAGCCAGAAATGCAAAGACTTTTACATTCCAAGATACTCATTTTGTAAGAAAATCATGTCAATAATACCACGATGTGTGAGGGAAAACCTCATTCAAAATCTCTCTCCAAAATTATCTCATTTCCAACTCCTCTGGCTACTCTGCGGGGGGTTCAAGATTTCGTAAATGACCTGCCACCTCTGATCCCCCAGCAAGAGCGGGCTGATATTTCCCCGTGCCTAGAGGGAAAATGAGGAAACCAAATACACTTCAGAAGTGCCCCAAAACGGCTCCCATAACGGCCTGATGGAGTCAGCCCTGAATTATATCCCAGAACTGGTCCCAAGTCTTCACTTTCTTGTTCTACACAGCCTTAAGCACACAACTTACGTGCAACTGTGGTAAACAACCAACACTTCTCTTTCCCTCGGGTTGGCAAAGTATTTCAGCAAACAGAACCCAGAGTTGAGATGTGCTACACAGCAAGCCTTGCCCTCTGTGCTTCTACCATCCTCATGAGAACTCAAGCTCAGGCAGGTACCCAGACAGGATCTGAAGTTCACAGTCCACAGCAGACCAACGGGCAAAACCCAGACCCAAGAGCAATTCACTGGACCCGGTGCTATGAATCAGCGGTTCATGTCGGGATCCCATGTGGGCACCTGCTCATATCCCGGCTGCTCCACTTCCTATCCAGCTCCCTGCTTGTGGTCTGAGAAAGCGGGGGATGGCGACACAAAGCCTTGGGACCCTGCACCCGTGTGGGAGACCCGGAACAGGCTCCTGGCTCAGGTTTAGCTCAACTTTGGCTGTTGTAGCCACATGGGGAGTGAACCAACAAATGGAAGATCTTTCTGTCTGTATCTCCTCTCTATAGGTATTCCTTTCCAATAAAAACAAAAATAAAAACAAAAGGCCTGAGAAAACAGCAGAGGATGGTGCAGGTACTTGAGGAATAAGGAGTGAAATCAGTGGATGGAAGATCTTTCTCTCGCTCTCTCTGTAAATCTGCCTTTCCAATAAAAAAAAAGAGAAATGTACCAGACTATGTGGTTGAGTGCTGTACAGCAGTGCTGTAATCAGTAACTTCAAATGACTTTTTACAACTTTTAATTCTTAGCTGGGGACGGGGGTGCAGGGGAACAGAGCCAGCAGAGGTCTCTTGGTGCTGGTTCACCTACAGCTGCGACAGGGACAGCCGAAAGCCAGAGACCAACGTGTCAGCTGGGGTCTCCCACCTTGGTAGGGACACGCATGAGCTCCCCCCCCCCCCCCCGCCGTCTCCCAGGTTACAAGGAAGACAGGTCTGCTATGTAGCGGAGACATGCTCCCAGGTACTCAAGCTGGAATGTAGGCACTCCAAGTGGCTTCTCAACCAGGACTCCAAGCACCTGCCCCAAATGACCCGTTGGGGGTCACCATGTCTTCTCCATGACACTCATACACGTGGCTGTGAAAAGTCTCTGAAATTTTTCCCTTCAGTTTTATTTTTCATTTTAGAAATGATTTGGTTTTTAGTCTTTCTCTTTGTTCATGTATTATTTTTCCAATTTAATTGAGTTATGTTCTCTTGTAGTTTTCCGAAAGTTATTTAGGGTTATTTTAAACTTTTAGTGTGGCAGCTGGTAGACCTCCAGCCAATGGAATGATAGGATTTTAAGTCATCCTTCACTCAATCTTCCATCTGACAAGCAGTCAAGTATTAAGAAAAGAAGAAATTTAAAAGCTTGATTTCCCCGTTACCTAGAAATGAGGAAGTTCTTCCCGTACTTGCCTTCAGTGCGGATGTTCAAAGACACTTACCAATATCACTGGCAAATTCGTAGACATGAGGTTTTTGCAGGAGCCCCAGCTGGCACATCCAGGTGAGGGCGTGCAGAGCTTTCACAATGACAAACTCCTCGGCGTCACTGAGGCCTTGCTGCAGCAGGGGCTTCAGGATGGACGAGCTCTGCCAGCCCACGTAGGCAGCGACCCCTGAGGATGACAAGCAGGACCACCTCGTCACCGAGAAGCCAACCAAACGGCAAACACTGAGCAGCTCACGGAGGAATGCCACGCCGCCCGCCTAGCGCAGGAAGTCAAAAAGGGTTTTGCTAAAAAAGTGAATGTTCTTAGAGACTAAAATGAAAAAAAAAAAAAAAAAATCAAAGCCCAACTACATCAGAAAAAAATGAACCAAAATAATGAATATAAAAATTCATAGGAAAGAATGATGACAAATGTGGAAAAACTTAAACAATCACTATCCCAGACTCCAAAAGCCCTGACTGACTGCATTTCAGCCTTTTTTACAAAGATCGTCTCGTTTATGTATCTTTATACAGCTGGGGCCATATTTTAAGCATGTTTACAATCTCCTTTAGTAATTTTCAAATATCCATGGCATTTTCCCAGGCAATTATCCCTTTAACAGTGTTCCAACGACCATTTAGTCTTCTTGCATATGGATGTATAATAGGATCAGCTAAACACGCAGGAAATCCAAAAACAACCGGAAAGCAAACAAACGTTAGGAACTTAGTCCACTGTTAATGAAACCTGATATTATCACCAGTCCTTCTTAATTAATAAAAGTCCAAGTATTTGCTTGACACAATAATTTAAAAATTTTAAGACAAACTTAAAAGCAAAGACATACCAACTATACTGTCAAAAAAAGCTCCTCGTAGATGCCAATCATTCTTATCATTTAGAAAAGTGATCATGTGAGACAGTAACACGTCATTTGCTTTCTGCCGTCCGAAGAATACACACAGCCGTGTTATCCCATTTTCCATCAAGGTCTGCTTCACAATGTTCTCAGGGTCACTTAGCAGAGTGACAACTTTCTGCTGGACCATCTCATGCAAGGCTTGGAGCTCTAGAAGCAAAACCAGCAAAGACAGCATCAATTCTCTTCCCTCCAAGCCACACAGAATCCACAGAGCCAGTCTTGTTGGGGTAAGAGAAGAGCCCAGAGCCCACAGGAAAGCTTCCACGTGCCCCCACAGCATCAGTATCATCTACGAAGTGCACGTATGAGCTCAAGGAGAAAATCAGAGAAGTGCGAGGACACTGTAAAACAATTCCAAACAAATCAACAACTTGAACGCACCGACCAGCTGAGAACACAAGACTTTAAGAAAGCATTTTTAAACGTCTCTTTATTATACTTTAAAACTTTGCAAAATACACTGCCTCTCCTGCCAAGGCTTTCCATGATCGTCTCCTGCATTTCTCTTCGACCGTATCTCCGACCTAGCTGCTCATCCTCTACTGAGCTGTGTAAAATCAAGAACACTACTGTCTTCTCACTACCCTGTTGCTTCAGGCAGGTTCTTTTCTTTAAGTTTTATTTTATTTTTTATTGGAAAGGCAGATTTACACACAGGAGGAGAGGGAGAAAGATGCGCCAGCTGGTTCACTCCCCAAGTGGCCACAACAGCCAGAGCTGAACTGACCTGACCCCAGGAGCTTCTTCCAGGTCTCCCACACAGGTGCAGTGTCCCAAGGCTTTGGGCTGGCCTCAACTGCTTTCCCAGGCCACAAGCTAGATGGGAAGTGGAGCAGCTGGGACACAAACTGGCACCCATATGAGATCCCCACACTGGAACAGGGAGGATTTAGCCACTAGGCCCTCCAGCAGGCTTCTGGCTGCCTGGTGCACAGCAGTTTAACAAGGCCCTGATGACTGCGTGAGGGCAGACGTTACTGGTGCTCTCTATTCAGCTACTGCCAAGGGGAAAAGTGCCCAGACTGATGGGCCAAATTACATGCTCACACCAAAAGAAGTTCAAAAGAAGTTCACACCCCAAAAGTGTGTATACCAAATTCATTATCTAAAAAGGTCTGATTACATGGTTATAGAGTGTAGGACATTATTAAAGATTTATTTATTTTTATTTGAAAGAGAAGGAGACAGAGAGAAAGATCTTCTATCAGCTGGTTTACTCCTCAAACCGCTACGCTGGCCAGAACTGAGCCGATTCAAAGCCAGGAGGATGGCCCTTCTTCCTCTATCTCCTCTCTGTATATCTGCCTTTCCAATAAAAATAAATCTTAAAAAAAAAAAATTAGAAAATTAACTGAGACTAAAAGATAGTATTCAAAATAATCAATTTGGAAGAAAACTATAATAATTTCTGCCTGAAAGGACGACTCCCATTTAGTAACCAAATTCTAATCATTTGTGTTTCGGGGTTTTTTTTAGAATTAAATAATTTACTGATTACACATAATGGGTGACACACAGCTTCAGTCCCATCTGAAATTTTATCCAGTACCATTTTTCAATTCAGATTGCAAGGAGGTACCAAGCGTCACTTTTGTAACCATGGAATCCGCGCCTCTGCGTGGGTGACTGTAAGTGCACTCCTGAGCTGCCAGCGTGAGGACCACTGCTTCTCCAAGACACTCCCAGGGCCCCGGCATCGCCCGGAGGAGGCTGCCTTCACACTGCGGGGGAAGTTACCAAGATGCCTTGGGAGCCGACCAACCTCAACCAGGCACAACCTCAACAGACACTTTGATTCAGCATCAGGATCAGCAATCAACAGCACGGTGCAAATAAAAGGAAAAACTACATTTTGGTGGAATACTTTACATTTTCCATAGTACAGAAACTAAAGCCACCACTCTATCATTAGTCAAACACAGTACTCTAAGGCTTTTTTGGCCATCCACAGGAGCGCTAAGATGCGTCCTCTTTGGAGCTGCCGGATCCCGCCCCACTGCAGTTCAGTGAGCTCACAGATCTGCTGTAAGCTGCAGCTTCCCCGGAAGTCTTTTTAAACAAATATCTGTCAATCCACATAATCTACAGTGTAACAGAAGTTCATCCTTAACCTGGCCATTATCAGAAATCATCACCACTACATGAAAATGACAAAAAAAAATAACCTTTGCAAGGCAGCATCAGCCATCACCTTTAAACAGGAAATCCGGAAGAATTACACTACCTGTGTCATAATTTCCATGCGGATGTGTAACTTCATCTGTTTCTTCATTATTGGGGTCATTTTCCATAGTGAGGTTTTTTAGCTGTACTAACTCCAGGAACCTGAGTGCTGTTTCTGCCAGCAGAGCTATGTTTTCTGTAACATTAGAAAAAGACCGTTTCTCACTGTAATTTTTAATAGCTGTGATGCTTGTAACTTTTCCACCCCGTCTTTATGAATAATCACAAAATTTACTCATCATTTAACCTAAGCATGTATATCATAACCTACAATTACCTCCAAGCAATTGTAATATAGAAGTATTTAAAAGCCAAAATCTAGCACCCAACTCTACTGAGCTAAAAAGCTTTAATCCTGCCACAGACGCCTACCCTTGGAACAGCAGCCTGACACTGAAATACTTCAACCACCACCACACAGAACACTTTTCGTCACAATAACACAACAGGCAAGTTGGGTTCCAATTTCAATGCTGCCACTTCCTAGCTTGCAGTTTTAATGATCTGCACCTGTTTTGTTGCTGATTTTCTCCCACGTAAATGAGGCACAGATAATTCAAAGGGTCATTAGCAAATGAACTAACCAGTACTAGGCTGCTTCACAGTGCGACTTTCAACAGGCAAGTGAGACTGCCTCCTTTCTCCTTAGTCCTAAGGGTGTCCGACACCCCTGAGTTTCTGCTGTCCTACTGCCAGTGAGGACCGTCCTTCTACCAGCTGAGCCTGGACCCTTCCACATCTCCCCTCCCGGGCTTGACACAGCATCCCCAAAACCGCACGCTCTCCCACCTCAGCAGTGAGTAGCACCAAACAAAAAGTTTACTACCTTAAAATGAGGCTTGCTCTGCCTTGTTTTTTTAACACCCTGAAATCAGAGTAACCTGAAAGCAGCTGAGCTCTTTAAGGATGTTGCCTTAGACAGTGACCCCTTCAGCCTGGGGCCACACCCCCCATGCTCAGACCTCCCTCAGAAGGTGTTAACACGCTAACATTTGTTCATCCTAAAGACAAAGACGCTCTAGGCCATCATATGCTAACATACCTAAATTTTAGTAAATAGCACCAGATTATCACAGTAATGAGTATTACTTTCATCTGGAAAATTTCCTACTTTCCTGGGCATCTCTAAGTTGACCTCTCAACCCCGATTGTCTCACTTTAAAATGATGATAATGCAACCTAGAGCCTGTTTCAAGGGTGACCAGGCTTCGCAATCCATGAAATCATAACTCAGCCTGCGACAGCCTGAAACAGCAGACACCACGATACACAGCAGGCTTTTCAACAGACAGAACTACACTTCGGCTGTACACACAGCAGGCTTTTCAATAAAGACATTCCTGCACTGTGGCTACTGGTAGTCAAATGTCAATATGCTAATATGGTATCTATGCATCCAAACTTCAGCTACTTAACATAATCCAGAAGTACAGTCATGAAACTGACAATGATACAGCTTGACCCTAAAACCAACCGGCTAGGATTTCACTTGATTTTGCCTGGTTCTACGACTTACACTGCCAAGGGAGTTTTAAATATGCTCTGTAATCCAAGGCAAAAGTGGATGTTTCAACAAATCCTGGATTTCTAGGCCTGACCGATGAGACATAGTGAACAAAAGCATGGTGTATAATAGAGGAATACACCCCAGAAATCAATCACTCTGTGGATATCTGGAATAAGACTAGGGCATAAAGGCTGCTTTTCACACATTCCATTAAAACCGGGTTGCCCACTTGAGCTAGACCCTCGGAGCACACCCCACCTGGGGACCTGGGATGGGTGGGAGGCTGGGTGGGGCTTCTCCCTTTATCTCCCCCTTTACCCCAGAAACAAAAAAAAGAGAATGTGGAAAAAATAGTCTTACCTACCTTCCCCTAGCCCTTGAACCTTTGTGCCCTAACTAACCAGGTAAAGATTGTCAAAAATAAAGAAAAAAAAGTTTAAAAAAATCATGGTTGCCAAATCACACATTTTACATACTGTTTACAAAGACTTCAAAACAGAATCCCTGGTTTTTCTGCAGACTATACTGCAGAAACTCTCTTTTCCATGAAATATCCACGCAGAATTACTCTGCAGAGCTAAACAGGTGAGTTTTCATCACCGACAAACGCGACAGGCATACAGAACACAGCTACGTCCGCAGCACAGAGCACACCACAAAAAAACCCACAGATCCAGAAGCCAACAGGCTGGTCCAGCACCAAATTACTCAGCAAAACTCACTGTCCAATGCAACAAGCCACTACGTGCTAAAAGTGACAGGCGAACGTGCGTATTTCCTCAGTGACATTAGACACCAGATCCAAAACACATACCACAAACATTAGTCTTAAGCCAAGTTCTACTCCCTGTAAAATCACAGCATTATATCCTTTCTCACTTCATCATTCTGATCATCTCAAACAACTGGAAAACACACAAAATATGAGCCCGAGGAACAGGTTAGCTAGCTCTATATGTCAAGGAACAAAGCTCACATTTAGAATTTCCAAAGAAATCAGAACAAGTGGCAGCATAGGCGCTACCTGAAAACAATCAGAATATTCTAGGAATCAGCTAAAGCAGTTCCCTCTCCCCAGAAGCACGCGAGCGTCACCTTACCGGCATAGGCCAGTCGGACAATAGTGGCATCGTCCTGGGCTAAGTGCGCGATGCCTGGCAGGATGTACTCCGGGTAGATATTGACGTCATTGCGAGGAACCTCTCTGACAAGGGCAAGGACTTTGGTCAGGGTCCTCAGGGCTTCCGCCCTCACCCTGGGCACAGAGTCATTACTGAAGTGTAAAAGGTAAGGAGTGATGCGGTCCAAAAGGATCTCTACACTTAATCTCGGGGCCAGATGCAGAATGAGCTCCAAGGCGGCGAGCTTGGAATCGCAGTACCGGAGCGTCTGCAGGCAGGACGTGATCACCGACACCAGGATGACCAGGCCGCTCTCCCGGGGCTCTCCGTCGGCTTTCTCTGCCGGCTCCTGGCCGCAAAGATTGTGGACGATGTTCCCCAGGTCCTTCCGGATGACCAGAATGCGCTCGTCTGCGGACAGGAATGTCTCCTTGGCAAACTGGGCCATGTAGGGCTGAAGGAAAGTGTAAAATATTTCCGGAAAAGCATTGCCACGTTGCTGCTTTAAGTAATCTTCTGCTTCTAACCGTTTTTCTGGCTCCCGGTGGATCATCTGAGTTACCTACATGAGAGAGCGAGGAGGGGGATAAGAGCGGAGACCAGCAAGGCACACTCAAACGAGAGCAGACAACGCACTCGGCAGGTTATCCCGCAGATCACGCTCCCTCCTCCCCCAGCACACTGTTCTCAAGCCCTGAATTCCGTGGAATGCGACTGTCCCTCAGTCCTCAAAGTTACAGGAAATCACGATGTACTATTACACACGGCCTCACACAGACAGGCAAGTTTACATCCTGTTCAGTAACCTCATCTTTTTTAAGATTTAGCTTTTTATTGGAAAGTCAGATATACATAGAGGAGGAGCCAACAGAGATCTTCCGTCCACTGATTCACTCCCCAAACAGCTGCAACAGCAGGAACTGAGCCGACCCAAAGCCAGGAGCCAGGAGTCTCCTCTGGGTCTCCCACATGGGTACAGGGTCCCAAAGCCTTGGGCCATCCTTGACTGCATTTCCAGGCCACAAACAGGGAGCTGGATGGGAAGCAGGGTTGCCAAGATTAGAACCGGTGCCCATATGGGATCCCAAAACAGGCAAGGTGAGTACTTTAGCCACTAGGCTACTACGCCGGGCCCTATCCTCATCTTTTAAACCAAGGAAATTACGTCAGCCATAGATAAAATTCCTAAACATTTCTGAGCAGTACAGATTACTGGGAATCTGAGGAAAGCAATGGATCTTCTCCAAGGAAAAATATATGCATAAAATCTGTGCATACAAAATTACATACAATTCTGTGAAGTTTTACAGAACCCCTGAAGTTCATTTAGGTACAGAGTCCTGGTTTAAAACTTCATCACCGGGGCAACACCGTGGCACAGCATTCAGCTGCCACCTGCAGCGCTGGCGTCCCATCGGGGTGACTGCCGATGTCCCAGTGGCTTCAGCTCAGATCCAGCTCCCTGATAACGGTCTGGGAAAATCAGAACAGTTGGCCAGCCATGTGTGAATCCGAGATGAAGGTCCTGGGTCCTGGCTTCGCTTGGCCCGCCCCGCTCATCGCAGCCATCTGGGACGTGACTCAGCAGATGGAATAAGTCCGTCTCCTTCTGACTCACAAACAAGTCAGCGTGACACCGCACCCATGTCGGAGCACTCATCTGAGTCAACTACTCTGATCCAGCTTCCTGCCAACGCGCCTGGAAACACAGCAGAAGCTGGCCCGGGCACTCGGGCCCTCCCACGCCGTGACAGAGCAGCACGGGGAGCAGAACCCCTGGCTTTGGCCTGGCCACTGCTCCCATCGTGGGACGTCATAGATGAAGATCGTGTCTCTCCTTCTCTTATAAGGCCTTTCAAACAAATTAAAAAGAAATCTAAAAAAAAAAAACATTATAGTCCAAGTTCAAAGGAACTCATAATTTAACTGTAACTCTAGAATCCACTCAGTTAAAAAAGCTTAAACTCCCAAGCAAGGTAAAAGGGAAATTTGGCGAACACTCTGAATCAAAAGCTACTGCAACAGCAAGGGCTGCCCAGGCCACAGCCAGGAGCCAGGGGCCTCCTCCAGGCCCCCCCAGGCGCGGGCCAGGCCACAGCCAGGAGCCAGGGGCCTCCTCCAGGTCCCCCAGGCGCGGGTCAGGCCACAGCCAGGAGCCAGGGGTCTCCTCCAGGTCCCCCCAGGCACAGGCCAGGCCACAGCCAGGAGCCAGGGGTCTCCTCCAGGTCCCCCCAGGCACGGGCCAGGCCACAGCCAGGAGCCAGGGGCCTCCTCCAGGTCCCCCAGGTGCAGGGCAGGTGCCCGAGTGAGGGTCATCTACACTGGATTCCCAAGTCACTAGCAGGAAGCCGATCAGAAGCAGCTAGGACTCACCCCGGAGCCCATCTGGGAGGCCGCCGTCACAGGAGGTGGCTTTAACCACTATGCCACAATGCCAGGCCCAATCCTACAGTTTCTATAGTATCATAGGGAGATAATATAACTTTTCATGAATACTCTTGGTATATTATTAAATATTATTAAAAATGTATTAAGTTCTTTGAACTTTTTCTGTTTAACAGCCTAGAACTGGGGGGAGTCAGATGTACTATAGAAGTGACTGAATTATATTTGGATCCAACATTAAATAAGTATACTGCTTTCACAGTTAAAAAAACAAATGCAGGCACAAACATACAAAACATAAGCCCACTCTGTCATTTAGCCACAGGAACATGACAGCTTCCCTTTACAGCCCAGGACAGGCCGGGCCATGAGGCCTCGCATGTAGTATGCTCTTCTCAGAGCAGCAGCTAAACTGCCTTTCTCGGAAACAGCTTACTTGTTTGCCTGTCACCATTTCTAAGAGAAATAAAATATTTGCCTATCATATAAAAATATAACCACACACCTTCACCCCCGTCAGTCACTATCTGAAGCATCAGTTACTCTGACTGACTGTTGCAAGATGCCTGCAGGCAGTAACGTCCGGTCTGAGCTAGCTAGCCTCCTGGGAACCCTCACTGTCCTCCGCTGCAGTCCATCAGGGACGCACGCACAGCTGGCCTGCTTCTCCCTGCCCGGCTGCCTCACGCTGAAGGCAGCATCACCTAGCCCTTCCTTTGAAGTGTCTGCTTCCTTCAGACAACTTCTCTAAACCCCAAGCTCCTTTGCAGCGCCTTCAAATCTGTCCAAATCAGAGCTCAAGACTGTAAGACAGATGGCAGACTTTAAACGAGGTCTGTTCCTGAGAAGGGGGAAAAACAGATTGCTCCTACAAAGGTAAAAACTAATTGTACAGGGCCCGGTGTGATAGCGTAGTGGTTAAAGTCCTTGCCTTGCACGCCCGGGATCCCATATGGCCACTGGTTCTAATCCCGGCAGTCCCGCTTCCCATCCAGCTCCCTGCTTATGGCCTGGGGAAGCAGTCGAGGATGGCCCAAAGCCTTGGGACCCTGCACCCGTGTGGGAGACCTGGAAGAGGATCTGGGCTCCTGGCTTCAGACTGACTCAGCTCCAGACGTTGTAGCCGCTTGGGGAGTGAACCATTGGACAGAAGATCTTCCTCTGTCTCCTCCTCTATGCATATCTGACTTTCCAATAAAAACAAATCTTAAAAAAAAAAATGGTTGTACATATTAGTCAATGCTGCGTTACTGCTTCCTTTTAAATTCTCAACATGGCAGAGAGCTGCCTAATGCAAATGCGAACAGCGCCAAGCTTCAAAACTGCACAGCAAACATTAGTTGACATAATTACCAATTCTCTGATACTCTGGTCTTCAATTTTATTTAGCACTTGCTCGGGGAAAAAATGTCCATTTCTATAAGCCAAAAGTTGGGAGAGGTCAAACAATGGCACTCCTTCTGTGAAAAGCTCAGCGATCACACAGCCTGGAAAACAGCAGACAGAACTGGTCAGAAGCGAGCCGCAAGCGATCATGCAACACAGGTGCCGAACTGAGAAAACTGCCAGGCTCAAACCATAACCCAAAACCTGAATCAGAACTTTACCACAGGGCTGGCATGGTGGCTAATCCTCTGCCTGCTGTACCAGCATCGCAATGGGCGCTGCTTTGAGGCCCAGCTGCTCCACTGCTGACACAGTGCCCTGACTGCAGACTGGAAAAGCAGCGCAGGACGGCCCTGGACCCACACGAGACCCAGAAGCTGCTGGCTGCAGACTAGTTCACGACACTGGCCGCTGTGGCCACCTGGGGAATGAACTCACTCACTCACGCTGCTTCCACTATCCTCGCCCCCAAAAAAACCTAAGTATTGCCTTGAAATGACACATGCGCGAACTTGTATAACATTTTATCTACTCCCCTAGATGAACTATACTTGATTATACTATTTTTCTTAGTCTATTAGCTCAACTTAAAGTCCCCGCCCCACTTTTCGGTAAAACCACAAGCAAAAAAATTACATCAAATCATGGCAAAATGAACCACAAACAGCACTGATGCCAGCATTCATGGGCGCACCGTCAATCCCCTGCCTCCGTTTCAAGGCTGTTTACACAACTCAGCCACTCGGCCCAGCTTCGGTGCTCAGTTACGCGTGTGGGGGAATGTGTCATACACTGCCCAGGACAAGGGACTACCAAGTACCACTTCCTGAAGGAGAAACAAGAAAGCTTAAGAACAAGCACTCCCCTAACTCCCTGGCCTCCAGCGCATCCCTCGGTGACAATCTGCATCTCCGTTTCAAATGTCCATGCACCATTTAGGACCAAAGCTCCACTGTCCGTCTTCTCCCGGTTAGCTTACGATACCTCCAGATGAACAGCACGCCAGCTTGCCATCTCTACCTGCTTCCTTCTCTTCCGTTTCCCATCTCAGTGACCAACATCACCACCCAGTGTCCCAAGTGCAAGGGGAAGCTGCTCACGGCTTCATAATGAATCAACAATTCTATCTTCTAATTATATTTGGGGGAGATATGTATTTTCATTAGAAAGGGAGATTTACAGAGAGGAGGAGAAAGAGTATCCACCCACTGGGTTCACTCCCCAAGTGGCCACAACAGCCAGAGCTAAGTAGATCTAGAGCCAGGAGCCAGGACCTTCTTCTGGGTCTCCCACGCGGGTGCAGGGTTCCAAGATGTCAGCCATCCTCCTCTGTTTTCCCGGGCCACAAGCAGATAGGAAGCGCAGCAACCGGGACATGAACTAGCACCCATATGTGATCCTGGCCCTTGCAAATTGAAGATTTAGCCATTGAGCCATTGCAAAAGCTGATTTTTTTAAAGGATTTATTACTTTTACTCTCCAAATGGTCGTGTCAGCTGGAGCTGATCCGACCTGAAGCCAGGAGCTTCTCCATGGTTCCCACGTGGGTGCAGGGGCCCAAGGACTTGAGCCATCCTCCACTGCTTTCCTGGGCCACAAGCAGAGAGCTAGATCCAAAGAGGTGCACTGGGAACACAAACCAGTGCCCATACAGGATGCCAGCACTTAGAGGCGGAAGATCAGCCTGTTGAACCATTACACTGCCTCTTATCAAGGATCTCTCAACCACCCTCAGCTCTCTCCACACCCAACTCAGCCACACCTTAACCCAATCAATCACAATCAGAGGCAGCTGCCTCCTTAGCTTATCCTCCCTTCTCCAGGGCAGCTCCCAGCAACCCACCCGCCTTGCTACAGGCAAGAACACCCATCCGATCCTTTCCGGCCTTGCTTCAATCATACCCAGATGCATCAGACCCCAGCCGCGCCTCCTCTGCTGGGTGCAGGGCACCCTGGCCTCCCAGAGCAAGCACTCGGCCTGGAACAAACTCCTCCCACGGCCGACTCCCTGTGACCTCACAGCACTCATTTTGAAGGGCATCTTCCTAATAGAGAGGTCTTCTGATCCTGCCTCTGCCCAACACACCATGGGGACGCTACGAGCATCCTATGCCTACCAAAACCATAATACACAACAACACGCTTCATTTCTACACCTGACAGGTAACACACACACAGCTGGCAGGCATCTGGCCCAGCAGAAACACTGCTCAGGACGCCAGCTCCGCAAAGCAGTACCCGAGTCCAGCCTCCCGGAAGGGCATGCCTCAAGGCAGGGGGGCCCCGTCCCCTGCCCCCCGCTGGAGTTCCCGGATGCTGGCTCCCCCAGGGCCAGCCCCAACTGCTGTGGACAAGTGGGGAGTTCATCAGCATCTGCGTGTGCATGTAATGTCTTTCGAAGAAATAAAAAAGAAAATTAATAAGTAACCCCATCCATCTGTTGACTGCACGAGCCTGGCCTGCACATACCTGCTGAGAAGATGTCCATCGGCCTTTTCAACTCCCCCCTCGTCCTCTGGTTGCTACTCAAGTCCACGAGCGGGGTCGAGGGGTCTCTGATGCACTCTAACTCAGCGGCAAACATCCCCCCATCCACAAATCGCTCAGGAGCAATGTAGCAAGTTCTTCTCCGGGACGTGTCAAAGAAATAGTTGAAATCTGCTGGGTTGTCCTCGGGAAGGTAGGTGGGCTTAAAACTGGCAAAGTCGGTGAGCAGCACCCAGTTCCAACTGGTGACCATCACGTTCTCCGTCTTGATGTCCCCGTGCCGGACCCCGGACTTGTGCGCCTGGTCCACGGCGGTGAGGATCTGGAAGGCGATCCAGCGCTTCTCGATGTTGTTGAGGAAGGGCCGGGTGCTGATGCGGTCGTACAGGTTGTCGCGCACGTACTGCCGGAAGAGCATTGCTGCCTTCTCCGAGGCCTTTTCCACCGCCTTCTGGAAAGGCAGGCAGTTCTGCGCAGAGTGCAGCCTGATCTTCAGCTCCTCCAGCTCTTGTTTATAGCTGGTTAAAGGCAGTGTGGGATCCTGAATGGCAAAGACCTTCACCACCACCAGGCCTTCTCGGTGCTTCGCTCGAGCCACTTTAAAGAAGCGAGTGCTTCCCAGGCTCCTGTCATACTCGAAGTCGTGGATGTCTGAGAAGTAGCTCTCCACGGACAGGATCTGGGAGGGCGCGATGCCGGCCAGCTGGTTGCCCATCGTGGCACGTTAAGGATACAACACCTGCGGGAGAAGGAAAGACGTTAAGGACAAACAAGAGGCCATAATCCGCCTGTAACTCCGAGATGGAGGAGTGGGCTTTGGAGCCGAGTGGGTTAAACCTGCACTGCAGTGCAGATGCTAAACGACAGACGACCCAGGCACCTGGGCCCCGACACCCACCTGGGGGACCCTGCCGGCATTCCAGGCTCCCGGCAGCCATGGGGGATCCATGATAGAGGTCAACCCACCTCCGTCACCCATCTCCGCTGTCAGCCCGCCTTACAAATAAAACTAATCTCAGGAAAAAAAACCAAAAACGCCAAGATGGTGCGTTTCTTCTAGCTCTCTACCGCAGCCAGACAAGGCTGTTCCCCGCGAAGGCCAGAATGCTTAACACCTACTCAGAAATACTGAGAAACACGTGGAAAAAATCTACACCACCCTCAGCTCAGCTGCTAGCCCCCTTTCTGCACACACGTCCTGACACGCCCCGGCATTCCCGAACCTTCGCGAACCGTGCTCACCACTGCGCTCTGGGGAGACGGACATCCTGCACGTCAGCCCTGGGAGAACCTGGAGTTGTCCCGGCGATAAAACTCAGACACACATTACAAATATATCTTTATATCGTAAACGCAGTGTGCCCTCGCAGCCGGTTAGAGAAGGGGCCGGCTTCTCCCCAGGAGATTCCAATAAGCCCAAAGTCACACTGACCCAAGGCAGCCCCAGGTTCTTTTAATTCAGGGTTAATTTATTTTTTTGCAGGAACTTGAAAAGCCACATACACACACACGGCCTTGCGTACATATAAAACATTTACCCCAGGCTTCTGGAAAGTGTCAGAACCCGCTCAGTAACGAGGTCATGGCAGGCCACCCGGGTCCGGTCTCCGCGGGGTGCACGCTCCGGGGGGACTCCCAGAGAGACCCCACACGCACGCACTCCGGGTCGTCGCCCCCCGAGCCCCGCTATCCAGGAGACGACCCGTCCCTAGCGCCCTGGTCCAGGGGCCGCCGCGGAATCACTCCCGAGTCTACACCCGCAGCTGCGCAGGACGCCGACTCCCGGGAAAGCCGCCGCTCTGACCTCACGTCCTGTGGCGGGGCGGAAGTGACGCGGGAGGCGGAAGCGCAGGCAGGCGGTTGCTAGGAGACGAGGGCGGGGCGGGCTGGCCACCGACGGTGCTGGTCCACCTTCCCTGCCCAGACCCTGAGACAAATCTGCAGAGACGCCTCTCAGAGCACACTGCTGCTTGTTCAAGGGAACTCACAGCTGATTTCTCTGTGAGCTCAGAGTCTGTTTAGTAAACATAGCCGAAACTAAGCATTTCAAGAGCGTTAAGATGGAATTTACATACTTGAAAGGAATGATATCAATGTATAGAAAGTGTTACCATCAGTCCTACAATTGTAAAGCTTTTTCATTACGTGATAACGAAATCTGAAACCTTGAACCCTCTGTCTCCATTCTGCCAGATTTTTCTCCTTTTCCCAGCCTTCCACAGGGCTAGTATCCTAGGTCTGTGGAGGCACTAAAGGGGGCTTTGTCAACCAATAAACCTTGGAAAGATTTTCTCAAACCTGGGACAACCAAATCAACAACTTCTCAGAACTGTTAAACTACTCAAGTAGATGGCACAATTGGCTAAACCCTCACCTTGCAAGCACCAGGATCCAATATGGGTGCTAACTCTTGTCCCAGCTGCACCACATCCACAGCCGGCTACCTGTTTGTGGCCTGGAAAAGCAGTAGAGGGTGGCCCAAAGCCTTGGGACTCTGCGCCCGTATGGGAGACCTGGAGAAGCTCCCAGTCCCTGGCCCTGGAATGGCTCCAACCCAGCCACTGTGGCCACTTAGCAATGAACCCGCAGATCTTTTCCATGTCTTCTCCTTTTCTCCAAAGATTGGATAGGCCTTTCCAATCAAAATAAATGATCTTTTTAAAAAGCTACTCAAGTAACACTCTGGGAACACTTCTGCCCCACGTCAGGATCATCGAATAACTGCCCCCCCCCCCAATTCCCAAGTCCTGATGTGGTTTGAGAAAGAGAAAATGGAAAGCAAAAACTGAAGCGCTTGTCCCACCCACCTTCCTCCCTGCCTGACCCTCCCTGCCCTAATCAGAGCACCACGAGTGCATCCCTCTCAATCATGTAATATTTAAAAATAGTAAAAAGTTTTAAAAAATAAACAACAAAAAAGGGAATGATGGACTCATAGTGATAGCTTTACACTTAATTTAAAAAAAAACTAATTTATATTGAAAAGTCAGATATACAGAAAGGAGAGACAGAGGAAGATCTTCCATCAGCTGGTTCACTCCCCAAGCAGCCCCAGTGGCCAGAACTAAGCTGATCCAAAGCCAGGAGCCAGGAGCTTCTTCCGGGTCTCTCATACAGACACAGGGTCCTAAGCTCTTGGGCTATCCTCTACTGGATGGGAAATAGAACAGCCGGGATTCGATCCAGTGCCCATATATCCCGGGTGTGCTAGACAAAGATGTAAGCTGCTAGGGCTCCCTGCTGGACCCTACAGTTAATATTTTCAATTGCCAAACTGCCAAGCAGCCTGGCTTGTTTTACGTTCCCGCCAGCAACACACGAGGGCTCCAGTGTTTTCACATCTTTACCGATGCTAGTTCGGACCTGTCTTTGATCACAGCCATCCTAGTGACTATAACAGGAAGTCTCTAGTTTTGATTTCTATTTCTCCGACGTGTTTGCTTTTCATTGTTTTAAATAAAACAGGAGCCTAATATAAAAGGCAAGAAAGGTGTATTTTGACTTACAGTTTGAAGTTCACAGTCGAAGATCCAGTGAATCTGCAAAGAGGCACCCACACAGCAAGCCAAGACGCGGGGAAAGGCAAAAGAAGTATGCTCCTCTTCCACATCCACGTGTATCTCTTTATAAAGTGACTGAGAGTGGCTCAAGAACTACTTCCAATTACTTCTCAAAGGCCCCACCTTCAGGATCCCACCCAGGGTGACTAGCCCATCGCCTGGGGCACTGGCAACTCACGTGGGTGCTAGTTCCTATCCAGGCTGCTCCACTCCTGATCCAGCCCCCTACCAATGAGCTGAGACACAGAGTGGCCCAACGCCCTGGGATCCTGCATCCATGTGGGGACCCGAAGGAGGATGTTCCTGGCTCCTGGCTTTGGTTTGGCTCAGCTCCAGCCATTGGAGCAATCTGGGAACTGAACCGGTAGATGAATAATCTCTCTCTCCCGCCCTCCCTCTATCTCTGTAACTCTGGCTTTCGAGTAAAAGCTTTAAAAATATATAAATAAAAGGCTCTACCTTCAGGCACCACAACTGATTCAGGTTTCCACCCTAATTCACCAACTACTGACCATTGTCCCAGATTGTTGAGGCTTGCCCAGTGAGGTACAAGAAGTGCACTGCACTACCAACTTTCTCTTTGAGACAGAGAGGCCAAGACAGTTCCCATTTACTCATCCATTCCCCAAGTGCCTGGAACAGTTGGGAAGCAAAACTCGGGAACCTGGAACACCATCCAAGTCTCCTAATGGGAGTAGCCAGGCTTTGCTACTTCCTAGGATGCAAATTAGCAGGAAGTTGAAACAACATTTGATCTTAGCCAAAAGGCCAATGAGCAAAGGGAAGTTCAAGCGAGAAGCAGAATTGGAGCTCCGACATGGGATGTGGGTGTCCCAAGTGGGGTCTTCACCACTGGGCAAAACGCCCACCCACCTTCAGGCTTGGTTAAGGGCGCAGTACCCGGAGCTTCAGGGGCTGTCATGTGGCCACAATTCAAGAGGCATGAGAAAAGGAAGAGCGGAAATCCCGCCCCTGGTAACACCCAAGCCACTGAACCAATGCCAACACTTTGAGCCCAGACTGTTCTTGCATGAGGAAGGGAAACATCTGCTTGAGTCACTGTGGGTTGAATTTGTTGGTTGAAACCAGTGTTCCTCAATGGGTACAACATGGACAAAATGGCAACGACATTGTCTTCCTGTAAGACTTCCGATGCTTCATTCCAGGGCCTTGCTGCACAGTCTGTTAGCACACTGCAGATGGCTTTCATGTCACAGTCTGACCTTTGCAGGTCTCTTGTTTGTAGCGGCGTGTTTGCCCATGCGGCTGGAAGAATAAAATAAAAGTCACAGCCTTTAGTTCGTGTGCTTCTGGCAGCAGCTGAGTAGGTTTGCTTGTAGGAATGAAAATGCCCCTGAAATGTTAATCGATTCAGCTGGACAATGTTTGGCCACACTGAAAAGCAGAATCATGATGGTTTTATGAGCTGGTGAGAAGCAAAGAATCCGGGAGTGATGAGCATGGTGACTTCCGTTTGTGTTTCCGGCTTCATTTTTAATGGATGTTCCTCCTTTTGGAATGATTGTATGCCTTGGGGAAAGGCTGGGGGTAACATCAATATTATAGACTAACACAGATCCTCATCAGTGACTGTTGGGCCGTGTTTATTTTTTTTAATTTGCATATTTATAGCACTGGGTGGTTAGCTCAGTGGTTAAGATGCTGCTTGGAATGCCCTTGGCCCCGATCAGAGTGTCTGGTTTTAATCTCAACTTAGCTATGATTCTGATTTACCGCTAATGTACATGCTGGCTGCAGACAGATCCCAGTCACCCTCGGGGAGACCCAGATGGAATTCTGGGCTCCTGACTTCACCGTCCTGGCTCAGACCATGCTGTGTTGGGCATTTGGATAATGCACTGAGAGGATTGGCATGGTTTACTGGGTTAAGCGCGCCCTGCAATGTTGATATCCCTTATGGGCACCTGGTTTGAATTCTGATTGTTTTGTTTTTGACCCAGCTCCCTGCTCGTGTGACTGGGATAGATGCAAAGGATGGACCAAGTCCTTGGGCTCCTGCACCTGCGTGGGAAGTAAGCTGGTAGATGGGAGAGTCATTGTCTTTGTCAAATAAATAACCGATTAAATTTCAGTAATTATGTATTTGTAACTACATATATAGTTAAATATACTTTGAAAGTTAGGATCTGATTTAATTTATATTTTAGTTGTCTGTTGCCATATAATAACTTACCCTGGGGTTGCCATTGTAGCATATCAGGAAGATGCACTGCCAGCGTCCCACACGGATGCCACTTTGTGTCCCTGCTGAAACACTTCCAATGCGGTTGTCAGCAGCAGACGGCCCCAGGGCTTGAAATCCTCTTACCTGTGGGAGGACCTGGAGGAAGCTCCTGGCTTTGGCCTTCTCCAGTTCTGACGGTCGTGACCATGCGGGAAGGAATCCAGAGGATGGAGATATTTCTTTTTTAAAAAATCTATTTATTTCTATTGGAAAGGCAGATTTATAGAGAGATGGAGAGTCAGACAGAAAGATCTTCCATCCACTGATCCACTCCCCAAATGGCCACAATGGCTGTAGCTGAGTCAATTTGAAGCCAGGAGCCAGGAGCTTCTTCAGAGTCTCCCATGCAGGTGTAGAGTCCCAAGGCTTTGGGCCATCTTCCACTGCTTTCCCAGGCCACAAGCAGGGAGCTGGATGAGGAGTGGGGCTGCTGAGACCTGAACAGATGCCCATTTGGGATGCTGGCAACTGTAGGCAGAGGATTAGCCAACTAAGCCTTCACACCAGCCCCTGAGAAAAATTATTCTAAAATGTAGATGCTAAAAATAATAAAAGAAGTGTTCTCTTTACCTCTGTCTCCTCTTCTCTCGGTAAGTCTGCCTTTCTAAGAAAAAAAAAATAAAACTTACTTAAACTTACTTAAGACAAGAAATGGTCATTTCTCACAGTTTCTGTGGATCTGGAACTCAGAGAGGAACAGCTTGTGCCTCTGTGTGGTGTCTGGGTCCTGAGCGGAAGGGCTGACACCTTCCAAGGCTCTGTTACTCCTGTGCGGGGTGACGCTGGCTGTGCGGGGTGACACTAGCTGTGCGGGGGTGATGCTGGCTGTGCGGGGTGACGCTGGCTGTGCGGGGGTGACGCTGGCTGTGCGGGGTGACGCTGGCTGTGCGGGGGTGACGCTGGCTGTGCGGGGTGACGCTGGCTGTGCGGGGTGACGCTGGCTGGGCCGCACCTAACCAGACTCTTGG